TATTAGTAAGTATATAAGTAGAGAGATTACTAAACCCTTATTTATATATTAAGCCTACTAAAAAAAGTACTTAGCTTCCCTAATAACCTATATTTTAAAGCTAATAAGTATAAGCTTACCTTATATATACTAAATATTAAAGTAGCAGCCTTAGTAGCAGATTATACTCTTATTAATAGTAACGTGGACGCTAAGTAACTACAGCTATATTAATACTAACTATAACTAATTACTCTAGTAGGTAACCTTTTTATATATCGTTAGGTATATATTATAGAGAGGCTTAGCGATAGAGTTATAAGTAGAAAAGTTATAATATAGCTACTTAAAGCAGTTATAAGAGAGTTAATAATTAATAGGGTAAAGAAGGTAGTAGTTATACTTAATCTAGTAGTTATAGAGGGTACTCTCTTAATAAATAGTTATATAGATAAGTATACCTAAAAAGATATATATCTCTACTATAGTTATACGCTAAGACTAATAAGATACTTAAGTAGGGTTTTTTATTACTTTAGTAGGATTATAAGTATATTAATATATCTCTAACTTCTTATTAGTCTAATATACCTACTACTTAGCTATCTACTTAGGAACAAATTTTTACTATATTTATAGTAGCAAGAGGTCTAGAGGTAGATATATCTTATATTTAAAGTACTCTATAAGAAGTTTATAATATAGTATATTATTAGTGTGGTCTAGAAGCTCTTTATTATACTATATACCTAGTAGAGAGCAAAGCTTATAAGGGTTATACTATACTATATTATCATTATATAGAATAACTAGCTAGAGGTTTAGCAGTAGATTTTACTTACCTAGAGGTAGAGGTAGTAACTAATATGCCTATAGTAGTATTAATATACCTACTTTAATCTTATTAAGGTCTCTTATAGTAGGCAACTAGTAAGGGTTATTAATAACACTAAGGCTAATTAGTATATAGCGCTATATAGAGGTATTAAGATCCTTAAAGTTATTAGTAATATTAAAATTACTATTATAATTATTAAATAACTTAATAATATTATTATAGTAAATATTATCTATTTTTTAGAGATTTTTTAGGGTTAATTTAATATAGAGTAAGTAGGGGTATTATAGTAGTATTATAAGTAAGTAGGTAGGGGACTTAAGTTAAGGAATAAGGTTAACTTATAGCTATTAAAAAAAGTAGATAAATATTAGCTTATTTTAGTAGAAGTATAGGTACTTAAAAAGTACTATTTTCACTGCAAAACTTAAGTATATTAACTAGTGGCGTAGCTTAGCTAGCATATTAATCCTTTTCTAGGCATGTAGCTGTGGGGGGCACTAAAAGGTCCATGTCTCAGGCCTCAAGGAGATTCATCCGCCGTCTGCTTCTCTGTGGTACCGTTGTGGGATGGTGGAGAGCAGGCCCAGGGCCTGGGCGGGAACCATAATCGACAGCCCTTGTCTCCCTGTCCATACTTCATGTCTCTCGCCGGTAGCTTAGCTGTATGGTCCTGGCTATAGGAAATGGTTGTTCTTCAGACACTGAGACCCCTTTATGCAGTCTCTCTACCACAATGCTTCCAGTAGTCCCCTTGGATGCCACCTTCCTCCTTCTCCATTTTCACCCTCCCGACGTTCTTTCCTCTAATATTACAAGGTACGTGGTGTGGTTCCTGTGCGACCTTTCACAAGTTCATCGTGCATACATCGCATCGGATGGCACCCGCGGATCGATGGCATGCTTGCTTGCGCGCGCGTTTGTGTCTGCGTGGAGGCCGGTATCGCGGATGGCCTCAGAGCCAAACAGGGGTTTGGGAGAGAATCATTTAACTCAGTCTCGCTCGAAACACATTTGATTGGAGCGAAAAATCGGAACACAAGTGTGCCGTCTGTACAAGAGGGTGAGAGGAAAAGTGAGGGACAAAAGTGTGGGTTCATCATGATGCAAAGTTCACCGCCGTGTCATCTAGCCAAATGGCCATTGGCTACGTAAGAGATTGGCGCTTTCACATTGACGATTGCAGCTCGACGAACTTGCTTGCTGTCCTAGCGCCAATCCTCTCCTCGCCCGGGAAAAGAAACGAACAACACGCGCTCCGGTTCAAGATGATGCCCGCCCATGTGGGTGCGGCGGAGGAGAGGGCCGTCTCCGACGGGTGTAGCGAATCGGATCGGAGGAATAATTCCATGCCATGCAACATCGATACAGTCACACATATCGGATCGATCTCGTTCTAGACATTATGACCGATCTAGCTGGGCGCTACAGGCTCTGCGTACATGCGCCTCTCGTTCATTTCATATCCCACACCGGTCACAGCTGCGCTAACCCAATTGTATGTACATGTCGGTTGGGGGAGCGAGGGGCCAGAGTCGTACGAGCAGTCTGTCAGTGGTGTCCACCGAGGATATCACCATTCTTGACCACAGCCTTTTGACACTTTGCCAATATGGCAGCTTGTTGGGACACCTCGGCCAAGCGACCGATGACATCCTTGTTGCCGTCTACGAAGCCGTACAGGGCGTAAGGAATGCCCACGTCGTTGCAGAATTCCTGCACCAATCTCTGCGTCTTGCGCAGGTTGTGGCGCGGAATACGAGGGTACATGTGATGAACAACCTGGAACTGCAGCCCGCCGTGAAAAAAGTCCAGCCATGACGGGCAATCAACGTCCATGGTCGTCCGCAACATTTTCTGAGGGAACGACTCGTGGGGGCCCAGATCGGCGGTACTCATAGCAAAGTGCGATAGCGTGATTTGACAGTGCAGCGGCGACTGCAGAATGTGGCTGACCATCACAAAAACAAATCGGTCCCAGTTGTTAGGGATAGACTTGTACACGACACCGTAGCCGAACCAGGCCCAGAAGAAAACCTGTCCAGCCACCTCAAGCCAGTGATGCCACCAGGCAATGCCTTTCTTGGGGCTGCGCCTGAAAATCAAATGGTCCCAGGAGAGCCTGTAAAGGTTGAAACGGCCGAAGCACATGATCGGGTAATAGAGGTACGACTGCATCGACAGGAAGAATTTGGCGGCAGCGTCGTATGTCATTATGCGCTCGTAGTAAGACGATGTCAAGTTGCCGAGGAAGCGGTGGGATACGGCGAAGAAAGGCATATGTTCAATATCCGGGTCGTGTTCGGGTGAGTTGGTAACGATGTGATGGACGTTGTGATTTCGCTTCCACCAGCCAATGGAAAGGCCTCCCATAAAGTCGGCAATGAATATGCCGATACACGTATCGACGTGGAAGTTGTGCGTGATGCCCATATGACCAGCATCGTGAGCTGAAAATACAAGCTGATGCCAGAAGCATCCTAGACAGGCCGCGCTCGGGACGTACCAGCCCCAACGCAAAAAGGTCAGCATGCCAACGAACAGGAGCGTATAGCGGGTCATTTCGACGGCGTATGCACGATAGTCACAATCGTAAAGACCCTCATCCTTGATGCGCTGATCCAGCAATCTGTACTTGCGCACGATCTCGGTTTGGGTCTCGTCGTCGAGGGGTGGATATTTGTCAAGATCGAGATTGATTTTCTTGCGAGTCTCCGAATCTAGAAACGCAGTGCCGTCCATATCTTCCTCGTCGCCGCAGTCCGAAGTTGCCGACGACACAGAGCTCGGGCTCTGAGCCGCACCTCGTCGTTGCCGCACGCTGCTGTCGGTGGTATCGAAGACCGGGGAAGCCTCCCGCGAGCTGTCACTGGGAGATGAGGGACCGAAGAAGCGTAGCGAGACGTCTTCCTCCGCATCGTCGATTTCTGGGTCGCCTTCCTCCAAAGATCTGAACTTGCCACCCTGAATGGGAGGGACAAAGTTCCGCCAATGCCCCTCAATCCTACCAATTCGATACCGGCTCATTTGTGCTTTCGCTTCGGGTGAGTGCAGCCTGTTGGAGAAGTATGCGTCAGTCTCAACAGCGTCAAAGGTAGGACTTTGCAAGAGAGCTCTCCGCGGGATGAACATACACTGTGACCTCGTCGGTGGCATCTCGACCGACCATGTGTTGAATGGCCTTGTCACCGCCAGGGTGGTAGGCCAACCATCCATCGAGCCGAAGAACAAACTGGTCGACGATTGTGATCGTGCGTCCATGGGCAATCAGGCCCTCGACCTGGCGTCGAGACATGAACGGGTATTCCCTTTCCTTTCTGGGGGTTTCCCGATTGCCCTCGCCCGTGGCGGCAGCTCCGGCGGCGGCAAAGCCAACCATTGTGATCTTCGAAGCTACTGTCGAACCACCAGATGTGAGTGATGCGTGGAGATGGGAGGGACTGATGGCGAGCTTCGAAACCAATTGAACGAACGTGCACGATTGACAGGACAGATTGGCAGGGGTAGCTTTTTGTCGCCGAGACGCAGAGGGAGGGAGGGTGGTGGGGGAAAGGCCGAAATGTGATTTCTGTTCTTCCAAGAAAAACAGAAATAAAAACCGGAAGTAAAAGAAGACAAGACAGAACCGGAATCTCGAAAAAGTGGTGGATGGGTGGGATCAGGGCGGTATTTCGTGGCCGCTATTCACCGCATATTGCTGGCTCAGATGCCAGATCCTGGAGATGTGTCGGCGAACTTGGCAGGCCGGATATAGTATGTCGAGGTGCCTTGCATAAGCTTGGAACCTTGAGTGCCAGCGTACAGCCAATGGCCACGTGTGGTAGGCTCAATATTTGAACAGAATGGCAGGAGGGTTCTCGGAGCTTTCAGCAGCCCGCCGGGCCATCACCACCACACAATGGCGCAAATCATGCGAGGAACAGCTCCGGGCGGGTCCACAGTAGCGTGTTTCCGTCGTCCCATCTACTCTCATTCCGAAATTAAGCCGTGTTGATCAAGAGCGGCTGAGCAACATTTGCCTGGACATCACTCATCAGATACTTCGGTTGGGATATGGAGATGGAAGCCAATACGAATATATATGCTAGAGAATTGGTTCATCGCCATCAGCCCAGCCGAACCTCTTCTCGTCGTCCATGGCTTGCCCGCAGCCAGAGCCAAACGAGTGGCTGCATCGACTTATTTAACCAGACAAAACTCCCCCGATTCCCCAGTATTTCTCTGCGTGGAAAGTGCTGGCATCAGAGTGTTTCCACAGGTCGTTGAAGGCCGAGAAGAGAATGACATCCCCTGGGTGGCTTGCGAACGCCTCCTTGATTGAATCAACAGCCAGCCTCTGCTCACCGACGCCAGGTACCGCAGCGCCGTTGCTGTCTCCCTGCCACGGCCAACCTGTCTCTGTGCAGACGATGCGCTTGTTCCGGTCTGAGAGCTTCGCCTGGACCTGGCTTACTATTCTGGTCACAAAAGGCCCAGCATCCTTGGCCGCAGTATTTTTGTCGAAGAAAGGGTGGATGTTCATTGCACAGTAGTCTGACGCGTCGCACAGAGATGGGTTGGTCAATACCGCCATGAAGGTGTCGACAGTGACAACGGGCCCAGCGTACCCCGCCGCTCGGAGAAGCGTCCGCGCCTTTGTCATGGCTGCGATGACCTGCGCAGCAGTGGCCTTGCCGCTGTTTACCAGCTCATTGCCAACACTGACGGTGTCAATAGAAGACCAGTCGCCGGCGATGGCCGTGACAATCGTCTGAATCTGATCTTCAATAGGGCCAATATCGAAGAGGCCGAGAATAAGCTTGAGACCTGTATTCTTGGCTGCTGGAAGGGCTTTAGTAATCTGCTCGCAATCGGTACCATACATGCGAACGACCGAGTAATTGCCCTTTAACTCAGCAAAGTCTGCCGCAATTTGAGCCGCTGACTTGCAATCATTTGACGCCGTGTAGGGCGCATAGGCGATCCCGTAGCGACTTGCCGAGGCAGACGCCGATGGCGATGAAGAAGAGGACGGTGAGAGAGGAAGTGAAGAGGAAAGAGGCGTCTTCGAATATCCCGGGACGTGGCCAGAGTATACAGCTTCAGGAGAAGCGGCACCAGAGCGAGTCTCAAGACCTGCGGGTTTCGTTCCATGATCCAGGGCCCTGCTGGCAGGTACGAACCGAACTGTTTCAGTGGTGGTGGTCAAGGGAGTGCCCTCTTCGTTGACGTAGACGACGACTTGAGGAGCCTCGGTGGCTTCCTTCAGCGATGTCTCAGTGACAACAATCCTACCGGGCCGTATAGCTCCCTTGACATCTCTAGTGCCTGGATATGCATGTCAGCACCTTTAGGGCGAACAAGTATAACACGTTCCTTACCCTGAGGATGAGCGCTGGACAAGCCGACCAAGGCAAAGAGCACAACTGATGAAAGGCCTGCGGACTTCATATTGTCTTTCTCGAGGACTTGGCGGATTTCAAGTGAGGGTCCTCAGCTGAGACGCGCAGAGAACGATTCTCAAGTTGAGCGGACGACGTCGATCAGGAGGAAAGCCGTTTTCGACTTTGAAAGGAACGAGTCGGGTCTGGTTTCGAGGTAAGTTAATTGAGGTGAAGGAAAGTCAAGAATTGTATAGTTCTGAAGGAGTGACTGGAATACAAGCCAACACGGGCTGAAAGGAACGAAATGCTGTAGGTACAGCTTGGGGCAACGCGACGTCAACGGCAGCGAGCGGCGATGATCCGACAGAAGGGATGAGGTTAAGGCAAAGAAATAGGACAATGACCAGCCGAAGGTGGCAGCGTGACAGTCAAATATTCCGCAGCCAGGTAGAGCTTGCCAGCCATCGGTGGGCAACTCGAGCAGTTGGAGGGCCATCCTTGAGTCTTGGCAAATACCAAGAGGTGCAGGAACGGCGGTAGATGAAGGTCATGGGGGTCGGACCGGAAGGAGGGAATGGAGGGAGACGATCGACTGGGGAAGGAATGCTGGTCATGCCTGCAAGTGCAGTATAGTGCAGGAACTTCGGAGCAAACGAAGAAAGGGAGCAAGACAATTGGACATTGTGCAGAGGGAGAATAAAAGCTCAGTCGTGGGGCTCACCTTGGTAACTCGGTTTGTTTGGCATACTGGCGGCTCAGTTGGCTGAGACAATCAAGATCGTAGACCGGTCTCAACCCCAAACTTGACGCATGTACAAGAACGACTGAGATGGGACCGAGGCAAATCTGCCCCCAGGAATGAAAGAATTGGCGGTATCCTATGCCACGGGCAGATAGAGGCTAGCTTGGGATGCCCACATGAATATGCCGGCATGCCTGAGACGTCATCGTTCACTTGCATCCGTGGCAATGAATGCTTTCTAATTTTATGATGCACAGGCACTTGCAGTGAAGAGCATACGGAGAAGTGGTTTGGCGATGATGCACATACGTGGTTTGCGGATGGGTGATGAGTATTGACTGGTTCCCCCTTACTGAAAGAGTGATGTCGCGATGCTTCGTCGGCAACGGGTACAATTAAACCAAGGCCGGGGGTAGAATGAAGCTGCGCATGCGCATGGAAGTCAGCACATCGATGCAAGATTGCGCAGACAACTCGATTGAGGCTCGCGTCATTCAAGTTCTCGAGGAAAAAGGAGCCTTCGCAGCTCCAGGCTCGGTCGGCCATTGCCTTGACCGAGGCGCCTCCTATCACGGACTTCCGAGAAGCTGCACGACTGCCACAAATGGGAGACCAACCGGGTGACCAGGACCACAGAAAAACGAAGCCAGCTGCTGTCCCATCCCATGGGGTGTTGACTGATAAGAATGGCTGATACCATCATCAGTCGTTGAGTCTAGAACGTTGCGTAGGTCAGACATCCTCTTCTCTTTGCCTGCACAGGGCTGGGAAAGAAGGGGGGAAGGGGGGGGAGGAGATCCGGATAATGTCCAACGTCGCCAGATGTGGCTGGAGTTGCTGCTACGCACCACAATGTCCTTGGTTCACCAGCATGTTTCCCTCGTTTCAACAGCTGCGCCGCAGACGAACAGCATGTATACTGTATTGTTATCAAGTATTAGTATATTCGTTTCATTACATGAAATAGTCAGATGCGGGGTATCCGGGAACCCGCTTCTCGTGGATTCCAAGCCTCGGCCTTGAGAACAGTGAAAGAGAAGTGTACAACGACGCTTGCCCTGCGTCCTCCATATCCCTTCCAACCAAGCTCAGCTGAACCTGACGAAGAGACTCAGACCACATGAGCCGCCTCACGCCGGTTCGACGCGGTGTATTTCAATACACATCACTCTAAGTGCTTGAAGCCGTCTGTGTGCTGAATCTTCTATGATGACTTGGAGCTCGACTTTCGCGTCATGACCTTCGTGATTGCGTGTCTGATCGTGACGCCCGCCTTCTCAATGTCCTTCTTTGGAAGTCCCGATGTAACGCAAACCTTGAGCGCGGGCTGAATGTTCCAGCTGTTGTCCTTGGGGTCTAGGTTGTTGGCAATAGCCATGCTCTTGAGTCGCGTGATCAGAACACCATTCGCAAGTGCCTTGAAAGCCACAAAGGCTCGCGTTAGCGTTGTGTCTAGTAGCAGACAACCTCGAGACATCAACAACTCACCTCATCAACGCATTCCTGCAAGAGACGCTCCTGGTCCTCCCTCGTCAGCTTTCGCGCCGCAGCAACCTCGGGCTTAAGCACGAGAAGCATGATTGGGTTCTCGGGCGAGCTTGTGCAACAAACCCAATCGCTGCGTGGGTCTAGCTGTGCTCTCATTGCCTTGATGTTGTCACGGCACTGCGTGAGGATATCAGGGTTGGACTGCAGCACGCTGAGAGTCTCACTCGCTGTCACGGCCAACATAGCAGGAAGGGCGGCTGAGAACGTGTAAGACGCCGCAGTAAGGCGCTGATGTTCGACAACGTCCTTGGCTCCTGCGCAAAACCCACCGCCAGCGCACAAAGGGCCGGCAAGAGAGCCTGCAATCATGTCTACCTGAGACGGGTCGACGTTCTGTGCCTCAGTGAGGCCACGGCCAGTCCGGCCCAAGACGCCAAACGACCATGTCTCATCCAAGATGATGCGGAATTTGTACTTTTCCTTCAAAGCGACCTACACCCACTCCGTTAGCCTGCGTATCGCGACAACCAAGACCCAGCCAAGGAACTCACGAGTATGGGAAGGTCAGCGTGGTCACCTGTCGTCTCGAACAAGCCCTCGGTCACGATGAATCTGCGCGTCAACTTCTTTCCCCTCTGGTCCTTGACAACCTTTTGCATGACACGTTCCAAGTCATCCATGTCGCCATGTGCGTACCACTTGATGGTACTCCTAGATGCTTCAAGACCCTTTCGAATGGAGTAGTTGACGGCTCGGTCAGCCACGATGATATCGCCACGTTTGCAAAAGGCCGGAATAACGCTGGAAATGGTAGAGAAGGCTTGGGCATAGACGATACAAGCCTCCGTACCAAGGTATGCCGCGATGTCTGCCTCGGTCTTCATGTGCACGTCCTGGGTGCCATAGAACTGGGGAGGGCCGCAGGGACCGACTCCGTAGGTGCGCAGCGTCTGAATGGCCTTGTCTTTGATTTGTTCATTCGCATTGAAGTTGTAGAAGTTGTAGGAAGCGAGGTTCGTCACGGTGCGGCCGCTTGCCAATTTGGTCTTGGGTCCGGTAGGTCTAAGGCTTGTTAGAAAGATCGATCTGCGTCAGTCTCAAAGGGAAGTGTGCTCATACCCAACAATAACGGGCAAGCGCTCGCTTTCCATCTCCTCGAGTGCACTTTGAGGAGGAACCAGGGGCTCGGGAGTCCAGTCGTCGACTAACTCATCAATTTCCTGAACGCCAGATCAGCCAGACGCATGTGATGCAATTGCTTCACGCAATTGCTTAAGAGCAGTGGGCGCCACGAACGTCGTCTCGCAGCTTGATGAAGTTCTGCTTCTGGGTGGAATAGGAGGGCGAGAGGAGGTAGCGAACGAAGAAGATGAAGAGGACTAGTTCGATGCCGGAGCGGATGGGATCGTTCTGGTAGCTGGACTGGATGTAGCGGATCAGGACAGCAGATCCAGGGACCTTCTGGAAGGCGGCGGAGGCATCGCGCAGCCAGTCGGTCACCATCGCCTGGACCTCGCTGGCGTCCATGATGGGGGTGGGCGTTGATCTGGGGTGCAACAACGGGCAGATCGGGAGGATGAGACACGGAGGACGACGGGACGAAGGACCCCAAATCCAGTGATGGTATGCAGCGCGGCGACGGGAGCAAGCAGACAGAGGGCAGCTGGTCGCTTCGGGGTTTGTAGGCAAGAACGACAGGTTGGTGTTGGCGGAAGGGTCGGTGTGTGCCGCAAAAGTTCCAGGTGGGCAGGTACCCAAGGTGACAGACAATCAGTGGTGCGGTCGACTTAGCCTTTGAGGTGCCTCGAGCCTCGAGTTCGGGGATGCTACCTTAGTAAGACAGCCTTGAGGCAAGTGCAGCGGGCGACGGGTGACTGGCAGCAACGCACATGCGAATTTTGACAGACCTTGCTGCCGTTGAGGTATTCTTAGTTCTCTCGTTAGCAATTGGAGGAGTAAGTGCATTGCCTGAGGGCCGTGAGCACATCTCAGGTGCACGAGTGACAAGGCCTGTGACGCGGTGGCTCCCCGAGCGTGCGCGCCCCTGGCCAAAAATTCTGACGCTTCTCTCTCATTGGGCCGCCCCGCTCTTCATTTTCAGGGGCGACGAGCATTGAAGTCAAGGTCACCCACGCAATCTAGCCTCTGGACAACTCATCACTGCTGGCGACCCAGTCCACAGAGCTTATTCATTACATCCTCATTTGCCAACTAGCCCACATACTGTGCCTGACGAATGGCGCAGCGGCAATGAAATTGAGTCAAAAACGCCACTCGTCGAGGCACAGGGCCATTATGCTGAACGCAACGTAACTCGATTATACGCCCGTCCAGTCTTATTCTGGGCAATTGACGATATACTTAGTTTGCAGGTCTAAAAGCCGTGATCCCTTGCCAGCCATATTCCCTGCCCTAACGAAAAGAAGAAAAGGAGAAACGAATAGGTAACTGTGGAAAGACAAAAAAACACGCCAGACAATGGACATTAAAAATCCGTCAATGCTGCTCGGGTCCCAACCTCCGCGTTCGTCACTAGTCTGGGTTCCTTCCTCTGCGGCGACGCTTCCTTGCGGATTCCTATTCATCTTATGGTACAATCCTAATTAAAACAAGCGAACTCTCTCGGAACGCTTGGTGGCTGTTGCCTTTCTTGATGCCGTAGAGACGGTGAGGCCAGCTCCGGAGTAGTCTGCCGCGCCCGTGCCGGTTTCCGTCTCGTTGCGCGTGTTGTCCTTCTCGTAATTAGGCTGCACCAGCGCCAGGTCTTTGCCGCTTAGAGAGGACAAGAATGACGTGGGGATCATGTCCCCGGCGACGGCAGGACCAATCATGAGCGCCATGAAAACGATGAACAGAGTGAAGTAAAGGATGGCGTATCGGAAGACACGCTTGCGCCTCAACTTGGACTGCTTCATCGAGTAGATTGGCGGGCGGATTTGACGGCTGTAAGGTTTATTAGCAATGGTGCGCATCGAGACAAGAAAGCAAAACACTTACCCAGGACGAAGCCAGAAGAGCATCATCGAGTGCAGCATGTCGATCTTGGGAATCAAAATCACCGGCAACATGATGAACAACAAGAAGTGCCCCAAGACGAAGTCGGCAGCGAACATGCTCAACTCCGTAATCTTGCAAAGGAACTCACGGGCAGGCTGCGAAACTGAGTGCCATCCCATAGAGTACCACTTGCCCGTCCAGAATGCAATGTTGGCCTGATCCGTCTTAATCTCACGCGTCAACGTCAGGGAGATGATGAGCTTGAAGATGAAACGCTGGATGGCTACTACGGCGATCATGCCAAGAAGGGTTCGCGCGAAGTTGAAAGACTCCAGGAGGAACATAACCTCGAAGAAGACGAGAAGCACAATGACGGCGATACCGTGAGCGATGGCCGCGAGGACACTTCCAAACTTCTTACAGCACATGCTGAGGAGAGGACCCATAAAACAAGCCATGAAAAAGAAGACCATCAGTGCACCGGCGTTGATAGCGACTGGGGCGAGGGCCACAACGCCAACACGGATGAGGGAGTTGGTCGGGAAGATTGACTTGCCGGGGTTGTTGTCCGTGGTGACACCAGTTTGCGCGTTGATGTACAAGTAGGGGATGACAGTGACTGCCACGAGAAGGAGAGGAGTCAAGATCTCGCCCCAAAAGAGATTCGTTATCGCTGCTCGGGGCACGTCAGATGACATCTTGGCAGAGGGGTCACCCAGAGCCTTGCGCTTGTAACCTGTGATACGGGTACGAGAAAGGCGGCAGAAGGCGATCCACGAAGAGGCGTGGGAGCGCGAGTTACCACGGGATAGCCATCGCAGGAAGTCGCGGTAATCGATGAAGAAATCGCTCCACGCAAACTGGTGGGGGTTGTACAAGAACGGAGAGATGACCAATGCGAGCAGGGAGATCCAGAAATAGACGAGCGCAGCTTGCCAAATGGTGACAGTGGCGAAGAGAAGCATCATCAACAAACGGGATCCGAAGTAGATAGACGGGCCGGCGAAACGAGAGTAAAGGACGCCGAAAGGAATGCGGGCAGTAGCAAAGCCACGACCGGTACCGATATAGCGAGCACCGCCAAACGAGAGATCCTGCTGTACCGAATTGGCGTAAATTTGGCAAACGAAGACCTCAAAGAACGGCGAGAGCGAAAGGAATTGCTTGGCGAGACGCTTGCCAGCGCGCCAGAATCCTCTTTCCGTCAACTCTTGCACGACCAGTGGCACGAAAGCCAAGAGCAGCACGAAGATAATTGACAGAATACAGCGGTACACCCAATCCATGAGAGCGTCCGTGTTCTGGCAGCCGGTGGGGAAGAGAGGGTCGGTGATGGGAACGTCGCGGTTGTAGTCGCACTTAATTGTCTCATGGCGGAGGGCTCCCAAGCTGAGCAGACAGATCATGAACATCTGGACGGAAAGCATGATGAACATGTTGTTGAGATGGAAACCAGGATGGGCGTAGTAGAAGGACAAAAAGCGATCGAGGGGGAGCTGGGTTCCCAGGTAGTAATATTCGCGAGAGAGCATCTGCTCACCCATACCGGTTCCGATCTTCGTCGTGAAGTTGAGAATGGAGCCGAAACCCAAATCACGACCCTTGCCACATTGGTAGTACTCGCAGTGCTTAATCCTGCCACCACGCAGAAGTGCGTTCATACCAGCGTAAATATCCTCGTTCAGATGCAGACCCTTCTGAGCCTTTGAGACACCACCACGAGTCGTCATGAAGATACCGTTGAGGAAATCGGGATGGCCATAGTGCAGCTTACCACCAATCTGGGCCAAAGTACGAGCGAAGAGTGTACCGAACGTCTGTTCCTTTCCGGCAGCAACATCACCAAGGATACCAATGTTCTCCGAAAAGATGTACTCGCGGGCTCCAAGGATAGCAACAGGAGCAGTAACCTTGTTCTTGACACCAGGGGTGTAAGGGCTGACGTTGTCCGTTTTCATTTCTTCGAATTCGGCGAGAACGCTGCGGATCTTGAGACACTCCTCGAGGTAGTTGTCTTGGTTGGCGTCGATAAGCTGGATGTATTCACCACGGTAGAAGATGAGGGAGTGATTTTGGTTATCGGATTTGCCGTCTCCCAAGATGGGGTTTCCAGAAAGTTGAATACGGAACTTGGGTTTGCGCATGCCGTTCTCCATTACTTCCGAGTGTCCATCAATGAGGGCAGAGTACAAACGCGGCTCCTCGCCCTCGGCGACTGGAGGCTCCTCATCGAGATAGGCGATCTGAAGATCAGGGTACGCGCGAAGGAGGAACTCGGCGTTCTCCATTTCCTCCTTCTTGAACTTGGCGAAACGCTGCATGGAAACACACAGCTTGAACTTGCGGCGCGCCATGCGCTCCAACTCCCGCTCGAGCTTGTCAGAGTTGCCGCCGAACATCTGAACAACCTCGGGGTTCTCGACACGGTACAAAAGCTTGATGGCTCTGCTATAGTTCATGAAGCCGGAGATCGTGCGGTAGAGCGTCTGGAAGCGGAGTGAGGCCCAAATGCGAGTTCGGAGGGTGTACTCGGGTGCGGAAGACTTGAAACCAATACAGTAGAAGGGCAGGTCATCGATCTTGCTCTTGGCGGTATCCTTCTCATTCTTCTCGTTGGTTTCACCGTCACCATTGAACTGAGAAGTCTCATCGGCGAGAATCTTGGTGTCCTTCACGAAGCAATCCCACTCATGAGGGTGCAATTGCTTGAGGTATTCGAGAAGGGTTACGCGGGAGTAAGGCTCATCCTCACGAATGATCTCACGGAGAGAAAGAAGAATCTTCTCACTGTAGTGGGGAATCATGACGGTGAAAGTCGGCATGTTGTCGACAGGGAGGGGCTCGGGAATGGGCGTGGACAAGGATTGAGCGAAGAAGGACAGACGACGTTCCGCCTCGCTGTTAGTGGGGAAGAACTCCGTCTTGAATGAGTGATCTTCCTGGGAAACGAAGAAGGTCGGGGCCCTCAAAGTCCTCTTGCCCTCTTGCTCAGAAGGAACCTGATGATAAAGAAGCTTCTGGACGTGGTCGATGGCCAAAAGGTGCTCTCGATACATGGAGATGACGATTGCGTTCCAGACCTGGGAGATGAGGACCTTCGGTTTGTACTTGATCTCCATGTCTGTGGTGGCAAGGATCTTGGAGTAGATGCGCTTGGGAAGGCGAGAGAAGATGTTTCTCCATGGAGTCCAGATCGATGAACCAATGTAGAAAGACCTGGCAATCGAGAAAATGGCGTTGACCAAGACGTACCACAAGTAGGTGTCGAGGAAGAAGAAGATCAGATCAGTGAAGGCCATCAGAGCCAAGAGAATGAACGGTTGCTTCTTGCACAAGACATCACCAAAGATCTTGTCCCCCAAGCAGTCGATTTGCATGATAGTCAGGTATCGAATAGGATCTCTGAAGGAGAGAGTCAGGTAGACATACGACTCTCCGAACTTGGCTCCGAAAACGCAAGCCCACAAACCGTAGGACATGGCCATGTCGTTGCCAGCCAAGCGCGGGTAGCTGGCTGTGAAGGTCTGACTGGCGACGTACTTGCGGGAGTTCTTGGTGAGGTAGCTTCCGAAGAGACCGCCCAGAGGCATGATCGAGTAGAAGAGGAAGGTGAGCAGCGCGATAACAAACTGCACAATCGCCAGGATCTTCGCAATTTCTTCGTTCGGGTTGGGAATGAAGAAGACGTAGACAAAAGGCGCCACGTTGATAACCAAGATCAGAATAAGGAAGAGCAAGCGTTTTGTCAGGTGCTGCGCGCCAGCCCAGCGACGAGGGACGTAAGCCCACTCTGCGAGAGTGGCCAAGACTTGAATGAGAGCGGCAATGGTACCACCGAGGGCAACAATGGAGAATTGTCTGGAAGTCGAGGGCTGCTGGTTGACCTGCTGCTCGTACGAAGATCCGACGATCAGGCTGGGGGCGTTGGAGGAGGTGTAAAACCAGAACATGGTCAAGTGGATAATCCAAATGCGGTTGAAATTAACAAGCAAATGGAACCAAGAACGAGTCTCCTTGTAGGTCTTGAAGAAGCACTTCTTCCAGTTGATGTCCTGGAACTTGAGGTACCGCTCGGCAGGGGGGATGTCGACCAAACGTGTCTTGTCGCCAAGCACGATCCTTTCAATGCCTTCGGGATACCAGAACAGCTGGTTGCAATCGTCGTAACCAATAATTTGGTTGTGGTCACGCTCACGGCGGACATAGACACCGTCAGAGATTTCGTAACCCTGATCTCTACAAAATTGGTAGAGGGGTGTGATGACGTTGTTAAGGAAAGTGAACTCCTCCACAGGTTCGACCAGGTTCTGGCATGCGGGCGAGTTGAGGTAGTCGTCGGCGCACTTGAAGATGAAGCAGAGACATTCTGCCATGTATCGGACTTGGTTGGCTTCACCCCAGCAAAGCAGGTACAGAGCGAGCTGGCGTACACGATCGTGCTGGGACATGCGGTTCATGCGAGTTTTCCAGCGGTACTCAGCAGCCTCCAGACTGTTATCGCCCTCAAGATCCTCCAAAGCTTCGTCCTCGTTGTCGGCTTCGCCCTTTTTCTTATTCTTCTTGGCCTTTCGCTTCAGGCCCTTGCCCTTCTTCATGTTTGCAAAACCAACGGCATCGTCCAAGTCCAGATGGGCGGCAAAATACCACTTGCGGTAGTTTGCGTTGTCACCTCCAATGTAGTCGGCGTGAAGCGACAACAAAGCCTGGTTCGGAGTCATGCGGGAAGCTCTGGAGTCCAGCAGCGTCATAAGATGGTCGTACATGTTTCGCATACTGTCACGCTGGAACCCAAACTTGGAAGTTAGGTCAAGGAAGATGTCTTCAACCTCCTCCTTGGAGAGGGGAATCTGAGCATCCGACGTCCAGGCTGGGTACGGCTCTCGGGATGCGGCAGACATCATGTTCGCGTAGTCCATACCATAGTTGGGTGTCGAAGCACCGGAAGAACGGTTTCCACCGTACGAGATCTGGGATGACGGGGGCCGAAAGCCACGAGCGCCGCCCTGGTCGTAGCTGTTGTATCGCTCATCGCCGCGGCCGTAGTAGTCCATGTCTGCCGCTCTGGCCATGTCTGATCTCATCGTAAAATCGCTGAACGTCTCGGAATCATCTTCAGAACCGTGGCGACGAGCACCAGAGCCATAGCCCTGGTTGTAATCCTGGTCATAATAACCACCCTGGGCATTGCCGTTGTAGTAGTCGTCTTGATACTGATCATGGCCTTCGTAGTAGCCACCTTCCTGGTGGTACGGATTGTTCGGGTCGGCGTTGTAGTAACCACTGGGAATCACTTAGTTAGTTGAATTGAGGACAAGTGCGGAGGAATGTGTGAGCATACGACTCGTCATAGTAACCATCATTGCCCTGGTGATGCCCACGATCATCGTAACCGTTTTGGTCGTAGTACTGGTCATCCTGGTAGTACGAATCGGTTTGCTGAGTTCCGTTGGCGCCGTTACCGCGGCCTTGTTGACCGTAGCCATCATCGTAGTCGTGGTGGCCACCACCGCCGCCGCCGCCGCCAGCTGGGTATCCAGACATTGTTTAGGCGGGGATCTGGTGCAAGTCAGTAAAAACGCGTCGACGATTGCGTGGGGCATGATGGTTGGGGTCGTAGGAAGAAACAAGTCGCATTCGCGCCAAGGGGATTCTGACTGACCGTCAAAGACTCATGAGGTTGGATGCGGGAGTAGTGAGAGATGAGCCAGAGGCTGGGTTTTGTGAGCCTGGACTGATGTGGCCGGCACAGCAAAAAAAGGTGATAACGACAGTCGTCCAAATTAGAAGACCGAGTGCTTACAGTAGCTCGGAGGATGCTGAGAGACTACGGAAGCAAAATAAAGCGATTGGCTTGGTGATGGTTGGTTGGAAGAAGTAACAAAGGGGGTTGGGAGCCAGCGTCGGGAGGTTTGTGTGTGTTGCGTCGAAGGGCAGAACGCTTGGCCGACTCTGCCAACGAGAAGTAGAGAGGTGAAGCGATTGACAAGACGCAAGTTGACGTTTTGGATTTGGTTTGTTTTCCTATTGTCGCGACTGCCTCCTCAGTCGTCTCAGAACGAGTGTGGTGAATTAAGGTGGAAGTTGTCAAGAAGAAAGAAAGGGGTGACGGAACACGGGCTGGATGGAAGGTGCGAACCGGTTGGAAGGTGTGAGTTAGGAAGTGCGGCGCGGTCAGGTACCTCAGCAGGACCAGTAGCAGCAGCAGGAGCTAAGGAGGTAAAGTAGGCACGGCGAGGTACCTTTACACAAGCACGCCCACGCCACTAGGCCACAAAAGGGGGTGAGGTACAAACTGTAGGCGCTAAGGGAGGGATTGGAAAATAGCATATGTAGAAGGAGGGGGGAGGGGGGGCGATACGGAAAATGAGATGGTAAAAAGCAGAGGGCCAGGAGAGGATGGATGCTTCACCAATGACGGTGCTTGAGGAGGCTGGGTCACTAGAAAATGGGTGCTACACTGGGGGAAGAGGGGAGGGACATGGAGCAGCAGAAGGCGCACAGCGTGTCTCCTTTTTTTTTTTTCCCTTTTTTTTTTTTTTTTTTTTTTTTTTTTTTTTTGGGCCCCCGCCCCCCTTTTNTTTTTTTTTTTTTTTTTTTTTTTTTTTGGTTGGACCCGCGTCGCCGTTTCTCACTGGATAGGTAGGTAGTTTCCTGCTTACAACGAAAAAAGGAGACACGGTTTGCAGCTGGCAAGACAGGGATGGCAGCGCAGGCGGCAACGGCAGCAGTGTGAGCAGCAACAAGCATGGGCCGGAATCATAATCTCACCCACACTGGAGTCCATGTTCGGGGAGGCGGGATGGAGTCGCAGAAAGCCGATCCTGTCCAAGGATAAGCCCAGGAGGAATGTACACAACGCAGGTGGGGCACGTCTGAAAGAGTACCGGGGTCTTCGGACGTTCTGTCGATGGAGTGGCAGTGCGAAGCGTGCCTGAGCGCTGACTGGCCATACCTACTTGCCTACTATGCAGTGTCCGTACCTACCTTACATTAGGTAAGGCACCTCCATTACTATCACTTGAGTACACAGTACGAATCAAAAAACTTCCAAAACTAGGTCCAGCTGGGCAGGGGACTGGGGCTGACAGCGTACCTTAAGGTAGTGTGTCGCGCTGCTGGGTGGGGATACTGCAATCACACACTGTATAAGTGCATACCAGTCTATGGATGCCTTAATGAGGTGAGTCGAGATGCGAATTTACTTTGTAGAAGAGATGCGTCATCCGTCAAAATGCACACACTCGGTACGATCTAGGTGAGTTGAATCTGGCTGAGGTTGCTGAGGAAATGTAAGCCAGCCAAGTCTGGTGATTGTTCGCCATGTCACACTCGCAAGTGTTGAATTGCATGCCAATTTTGCTGCGCAGTATCGCATTCAAGCACTCACCGTCCTCCATCACAAGGGAGCCATTGGGTTTGGAGTGGCAGCGCCAGTGCCAAAGCAGGGACGGGATGGGATGCCTCGGACCTGGACAGGGGGGGTGACAGGGCAGCAAAGCCGGGAGGAACTGGAACGATGGGGGGCACCATTGGCTTTTTTTGGCACGGCCCCACCGGCTCACAACACTACCTACACTATGTGCGTACCTACTACGCAGTACGCGTACACTCAAGGTAGATACGTAGCAAGGAGGTACCTTAGGACGAAGCAAACTGTCCGAGGAAAGGCCCACAGCCTGACGTTCCCTTCATTGCCAGGCGTGCCAAGTGCCAGCACCCACCATGTGGTCGTCGTTGTTCCTGAGCTCATCTGGCAACACAACACAACACCCGCACCATTGCCACTCTCTCGCTTCCGTCTCGAACATTCCTTGGACCGACTCGGACATGACTTTTTTTTCTTCCTTTTTTTTTTNCTTGGACCGACTCGGACATGACTTTTTTTTCTTCCTTTTTTTTTTCCTGCATTCTACGCTTTTGGTTTCCGCTGCTACGTTTTTGACTTTTTCCTGTCATCGTCCTTAACGCGAGTGACTAGCTAGGTTGACCTCCGATGGTGCTGTCGCATTTGTCTGCCTGTGGCTGAGTTGATCTTGATACGTCTTGAAGCATCCGACCAGCCTGGTGTATCCGTATTTCACCGACGACCGACAAGGACACAACGCGTCGCCAACGAGGCTTGGCCTTGCCAGCCGGTAGAGACTTAGCGTTTGTTGTCTGAGTTCTGACCATCTGCTAAATGGCATCTGCATCTGGACGGGCAAAGGCACAGCAAGAGGCTCCTCGCCCACGGTGCCCCGGTCGTAGTCCAAGGATCACTGCTTCACAGTGCGTCTTTTCCAGTTGCCTTGAGTCTAGTCCTGTTCATTGGCCGCTGACACAGCATGTCACTGTCTTGGGACTAGTAGCCACGCACGGCGGACAAATAGATTCATGGCAAGGGGAATCAGGGGAGGTGCCTGGGTTCCTCAGCAAGAGGCCGGACGTTCCGGTACTTGGTGGACCAGGATCACGCCAAGGTCATCTCCAACTTGCGACCTGACCGTTTGGCGATTGGCTACCGCTATAGGAAGAGAGGGTTCGTCTCGTCGCGGGTGCGTCTGGTGTTTGGCATTTGATCCTTGGTCCTTTGCTAGAGCGTCACACGCCGCTTCAGACAGAGCATGCATCCCAGTACCTATCCCATCCCAGACACCTCCCGTCGCCTTCCGTGCATACACAGCCGTACCGAAATTCTCGCCATTCTTTGGGCAGGACAGTGAAGTCGAGGCGAGACGATTGCTTCACTTCGCCTCGCCTCGCTTCACCTCAACTTCATGTCAGCCCATTTCAACCTACCCCCAGCCCTCGAGATTGAGGAATGAGGACGGCGAAATTTGGATCAGCTCTCAAGAGTCAAGACAACACGCAAGAAAGCCACAGGCCGTTGCAGATGGAGGTTTACTGATATGGCTTCCCTTGCATCCCATCTCAACACATCGCGCGTTGAAAAGCATGTACCGCACGCACTACGACATGAGCCGCACGTCTGTGTGTTTGGTCCTATCAGAACTGGTACCGCAGTATGCCGTATGTCCAAGATTGGGCTCAGGAAATCCGGCTTTTCGGTCTTCGATACGCAATTGAGTTGAACCGTTCCGGTTATGACCCTCCGTCTGAGCAACTGCCAGCTGCAACTCGCAATCGGAGATGTGGTTAAATTCAGCACAGTTAGTTAACACGCCCGGGCGCAAGGTCAGACGTAATCGTCACTATAAATGGTGGGAGCCTCGCAGACAAGAAAAAGCAGGTTTTGTAAAGACCAGCCACCAATAGTTGTTGACAGCGAATCAGCGTGGGTATCCGTCTTCCAGTTTCTGGAGGATATCTGATGTGTCTGTTGTATGTGGCTTCGCAGGCCCAACACTCTTCACGGACACGAGCTTGTTCGTTGTTCCGGCTTGCATCGCTCGTATTGTGGTCCGTACAGCGCCCTGCTGCTCGCGCCTGCAGCTCGTGTCGTGGTTCGCTTCGCCACCATCCAGATTTGGACTTAGAGAGTATTCTGCTCTCTTCTTGGCACCCGAACATCCTGATCTACCTATCTTGGAACACACCTGCCTACCTAACTGACAGTATTTCGGCCGATCCCCACTTGTGCACTACTTATGTGCGCAGTAGCAGTAGAGACCGTCTGGTGTGTGAGTGGGCAATGCGTTCGAAGAAAGGGTAGATTACAACACCTCCCAACCACGGAGACGGCGGACCGTCAGACTGATGGTTGACTAAGGCCGCTTGGCAGCCATCTCCGCCCCTCGTTCGCCCGCCTTCAACAAAGCAACTTGCGTTGTCTTCTATGATGACCCATTATTTATTTCCAAAAGACCTGCGATCCCTTCGCGAGCCAGGGCACAGTGTGAGGAGACACATAAGTGCAGCATCCACTGGATCGAGGCTTCGCTGGCTTGGGTCCGGAGGTTTTGAGGGCTGTATCCGTTGGGGCGAATACCACGGGCGGAGGAACGAAGAAGCACAGCACAGAGGAGGGGTTGGAGGGCTAGGTAATCAAAGGTGAGCCCACTTGGGCAGGATGTGTTGTCGGATGCAGGTACCGGCCTCGAACGAGTCAACCAGCGTGGACCAGAGCGCTGAGCTGCCTTAGCGTCGGCCCCTCCCAATGTCTGTCATTTCTTTTCTGAGTACACTTGTTGCCAGATGCCGGCAAAGACGCTGAACGGTTGTGTAGTGGACGATGCCGTCATCACCTTACACGTCCACCCACCCACTTCGTCACCAGTAACTCGAGCAAGAAATATCACTCTAGTACCTGTAGTTGCATGCTGACTCCTCCTCTCACGCGGCACTCACTCGTCTCTTGCACCTTAGTCTTGTCACCTTGCCAATTAGCGTGCCCCGCTACCAGCGCCAGCCGCTCTACGAATACAACCTTGCGCCCGAGACTTCGCCCTGGGTGCTGCCTGCTCAATCCTGATCTCGATCACGCCGTGTCTTGTAGCCCCTAGGACGACGGATGGGTGCCGCGACCAATGTCCATCACGTCTCGTTGGAAAAACGTCGGCATCAAAGGGAGATTGATACCACCTCCGTCCAAAGAGGTAGCATTGCCGATTGCGAATCGACTCCTCGCGGCACTTCCGTCCGCTACTGCTCCGCTTGCTCTTCGACGAATTGACGTCATAGCCCCTATCGACAGACGCGATGCGCTCAATTCTTCCATCCCGTCCCATGCCATTATCCCCCTTCTGTTTGAATCAGTACTTCGCCTTCAGCAACAGCCGAAGACCCAGCCAACCAGTCTGCGAGTGTCGGGCTAAAAACCAGTCGAGCTGCAGGTCAACGCCTGGAACTATGGTTTCGTCCTAGCCCTCATCAATACATGGAAAAGTCGCACTAGGAAAGCAAAGTCGACCGTCGCTACGGACCTGTGGGCATCCGACAACGGCTGATGGCGGCCCTCCATCTCACTCAAGTTGGTTGTTTGGCAAGGCGTCACTCAGGGGTATTCGTGCATTCCTTTGTCCCTTTGGCCTTCAAGCCACGCGACTTGATTCGAGAGAGACACTTTTTGCTTGTCCTTTGTCCACAAAAGATCGCACTACATCAGTCTGTCTCGTATCCAAGCGTCGACATTGACCGAGACATTCGTTCAAATTGGGGGGTGGACCATGTGCTGGACATCCAAACCTAGAACATGCTATGTTTACCTTGCAATTCGTATGCAAACGCCCTAGATAGACCATGCCCATCCTCCGTGCTTCCCGCGCGCGGCCGTGCCTCCCCAGAAGACGACCCACGAACGATCTGGCTTGCTCCCGCTACAAATCGCTATGAGTCCAGGGCTTCGCGTGGTGGAGTTCCTCATTTCAATGCCTCCTTGCTTACCTTATGTGTCGATGCAGACTTGCCAGCAGCGCAATCGCCCGTACTTTAATTATGGGGGGATTAACTACAATTTTCCGTGCGTGTCGATCGCCTGGATGACATAGCAGCTCTGCTTTCGTCTGATCTCTTTTGCTAAAGGAATCATGTCCTATCCGTACTATACCGCAGTACAGACAGCACTTACGCCGGAGAGTTGTGGCATTGGGCAACGGCTTTCCTTTCGCCCCCCTCGGATCAGCTGGAGCCTTCGAATCTCGGTGTTGCTGGGGTCCCCTCCGGCCGTGGAAGAACTGCGATGCTCTCAGCCGAAAGGCTGTGCAGTATCACATCAAGCTTCGCAGGGGTCCCGGAGCTTGTCAGTCTACCTAGAGGCTAGAACCCTCTTCGGTCTCGAACACGGCCTATGTTGGCCCGAACCGCCCTGTGTACCCAAGTTGATATCAGGAACAGACTGAGACGAGGCCTATGATGGTCCAGCGACATGAGAGACGCTGCTGCAACAATCCCAAATGACACGCAGCGCGCATTAAACAATTAGATCTTTTTGATGATGAGACTGGCTTGTTTTGGCTGATTGGGCTGTGCTCGGTCTGCTCGTTCCTCGTGCTTGCTGACTCTCACCAAGAATTGCAATCGCAATTTTCTTCGGCGCCTTTTTCGTGCAGCTCGCGAGGTCTGGCTTGACGTCGAAACACTAGGTACTAACAACAATGAACCATCGCGAGCGTCACGTGCTGTAGCTCTGTTCTCACCAACACCGTGCGTGGTTTCCAAGGACGGGACTTTTTCTAGCAGGTGGGGCACCGCCGGTTTTTGACAGCTGGTTGCCCCTCGCAACGACGACAAACGCTTATCGACTATGCGGCTCTTACGCAGCCATCTCGTGTAAAGCGAACTCTACCGAGACTCAGACGGCATGTGAAATTCACCCCGAGACCTGCGAAAATAACCCTGAGCCATGAACAAACATATCCATTTTGCCTCGTCCAGCGAAGACGAGTTCCCTGATCTGGACGTAATCTTCCAGAGGAGTAAACAGATCAAGCGCCAGGCCAAAACACCGCAACAGGAGTCTGTTATCGACAGCCATGATCTTCCGAGACGGACCGGGAAAACGACTGAACCAAGAGAAAGTAAGGAACATAAGTTCGAATTGAGGAAGCAGAAGCAGAACAATTCGAAACCCTCCTCGACTACGCGACGTCGCAAGCTTGGCCAGCAATCGGACAACCTGCTTCTGAAGCGGTTTGGGACCTGTCCAGCGAACGAGGGACAAAACGTTCTGGAGGTCCCCATCAAGACACAGACGAAGAGAACAACAAGCGTAAAAGTGCGTGAGCTGCGAGCTCGGGACCAGGTCACACCACCGGCGAAACCCCTTGTCGAGGCAACTGAAGAATGCTCAGAAGATAGCACCAATGACGCGACCGAGATCACCGAGGCTGATATCTCGGAATTTTTCTACGACGCCCTCTCTGAGATTGAGGATGATGACGACACTCCATCCCAGTTTGACCGAGAAGAGCCGGCTCCAAAAAGTCGTCCCCCGGCGGTTCGAAGTGAGGGGGGCAGCTCAAAAGCAGGAGACCTTCTAGCGTCCAGAAGCACACCAGATGTCGAGATGCTAAAACCAAAGCCTTCCAGCGGCGACAGACCTCGGCTAGGAGCTTCAAGCAAGGAGAGCAGTGTCGACAAAACCTTGGGCAGGGGAAGGACACGGCCAAGGTCGACTCTGATCGACTTGACAGACGGCGTGACCGACTCCCTGCGTCGCCTTGATCTGTAGGCCTACATAACCCATTCAACTTTGACTATCGCCACTAACGCACAATAGTGACACTACAGGGTCAGGGAAACAAGACACGAAGAAGAAAAGCAGAGACGCCCCGCAGGCAACACCGCCATCAACACCGCCCAGGTTAACTAGCAAAACTTTGCTTTCCCCCAAGAAGCTTCCTGCCATCCCAAAGACCCCCCACGGACCCAGCATGGACCTGTTCTGGAGCCAAGAGTTTGTTGACGAATGGAACGAGGAGCACTCCCCGAAAAAGCTCATACTGCCACCAGCGCAGAAGAGCCCAGCGAAGAGCGCTGTAAAAGCCAAAACCAACAAAACAGAAGCAGCGAAGCAGAAAGAGACAAAGAGATCATTTGAGAAGACGAAACACGACTTGGCGCAGGCATTCTTGCGTGAACTCGACGACAACATCACGCAGGGCAAGCTACAGTCTTTGGCTGAATCCACAGGCGGAGTTCAGATCAAGTGGTCAGCCAAGCTCAGCACCACCGCTGGTAGAGCCAACTGGCGACGGGAGACTGTTCACAAAGTAGCCGATGGCATCGAAAAGTCCGTTACTCATCGTCACCACGCCTCTATCGAGCTTGCCGAGAAGGTCATCGACGACGAGAACCGTCTTCTCAACGTCGTCGCCCACGAGTTCTGTCATCTGGCAAACTTCATGGTCAACGGCATTACTGGCAATCCGCATGGCAAAGAATTCAAGATCTGGGCTTCCAAATGCTCGCAAACCTTTGGAGACAGGGGCATCGAAGTCACGACTAAGCACTCGTACGAAATCGACTTCAAGTACATATGGGAGTGTGCCGAGTGCGGGTTGGAATACAAACGTCACTCCAAAAGCATCAATCCGGAGCGCCACCGATGCGGTTCCTGCAAGGCTCAGCTGAAGCAGACAAAACCCTTGCCACGAGCAGCGGCGAAGCCATCCGAATACCAACAATTCTTCAAAGAGCAGATGAAGATAGTCAAGCAAGAGCACCCTAAAAGCCCGCAAAAGGAGGTCATGAAGATCATCGCTGATCGATGGGCGAAGCGAGGTGGCAGCAATCGTGCAACCCCTGAGACGGAAAGCGCGGAGGCAAGTATTGACAACGTCGGAGCTCGCCTCAATAGTATAAAGCTCTGATCAGACGACGGTTTGGCACAAATACACACAGTGGGAGGGTAGCGAAGTTGGTATAGATTCCGCTGTGTGATGCGTTTGGGTTCGTCAGATAGAGCCGGTCGGACGGCATACCATACTCGACATGCCCAATTTGACATTCTTCGTATACAGATCGCCGGGTCCAAATAACGCCCGTCAAAAATGACAATGTAGAGACCGTTCCGCCCATTCATTCGTTCGCTCAGGTATCCCGCGCAAATGTGCTCGTATCATCCGCCATCGGGCCGTTCACAACCTTTGCGCTCGCAAAAAGAAAGAGAAATATTTGCCCCTAAACCTCGGCGAACAGAGTCCAGTCCTTGACCTTGAAGGTCTCCCAGATGCGCGCCGCATACTCGACGGCGTCACCAATAAGCTTGCCCTGCTTGCCCAGCTCCAGATCGACGTCCTCCTCGTCGTACTCGCCCTTGATGTGAGGCACGTTGATGGTGATGAGAATGTCGGTGGATTCTTTCTCGAGACGTAGCAAGGTGAGGATGATGGCAGTAAAGTCAGGGGCCGCGGAGCCGGACTTGGACTTTGGGGTTTGCGTCGCGATGAGGGTGTACGCGGGGACCTCGGTGCTGCTCAGGGGGTATCGCCGTGTTAGCTGCCGTCCGTGGTAATAGGGAGGAGTGCCAGGAATCTTTGCGCAGAGCGAACGGAATATGTGAGCCTGGCGAAGATAGCCACCCACCTAAGTCGTGAAAAGGATGTCTCGGTCGTGTTCCAGACCTTGACGGTATCAATGTCCTCGCCGACGAGCTCCTCGAGATGCGTTGTCATGGCGCGACCGTCAATCTCGGGGCTGCTGCCGGCGGGACCGACGCGCTCAGTAATGTCAAAGATGATGCTGGTGAACCCGTCCTGGTCGATCCAGACTTCCTGGTTGTCGGGAACTTCGCGCAGTTTGCTACGGGATGACCTCGTCAGTTTGAAGCTTACAAGAATGACGCGATTGGAGCGGAACGAACCTCACGTCGGCAAACTTCTCTGGCAAGTCGCAGACCAGGGCGCCGCCGTACAGGGGAGTGCTCTTGTACCGGGTCATGTCGCTCGTAGTCGTACGTGAAGTCGCTAGTAATGGGTTTGGCGCAAAACAGCTCCGTCAGAGTGTGATGCAAAAGTCGAAGAGCGCAGACAACGATCGCGAGGACGAAGTCGAACAGTTACAGAGATCGAATCAGGCACTGGGTCAGGCGCAAACGAACAGGCGCAAACGAACAGGCTAATTTGACAAGCAGTGTTCGGGTATCACAGAGTTGAATAATGAAGCGGACAGTGACTATTAGATTACCACCAAAGAGCGAACGGCGGGCACTAGCTGGCTGCCTTACGTGGGGTTTTGCAGGTGCCGAGCGAGGCTCGTCCAAGTTTACTCTGGTTCATTCGAGGTGGGGTGGCTGGAAAAAAGAGGGGGATGGAGGGATACCTTATGACGACGGTGCGGCCAGGGATCATGTCGCCAATTCGAGCTGCTGCGGAGCTTCGGGCTGAGCACTGAGCGGCACTGGAAGCTGCGCGGTAAGCCTCAAGGCTGCATGTTCAAGCATCGGCTGACTGTGCCATTTTTTCTCTTCCCCCTCTGCGCAATAACTGCAGCTGCATGCGCATTAGAACTAAGCTACTTATATGTTTGCTATCGCACGGTCCAGCATAATTGAATGGAGCATTTAAAAATATGGCAAAACAAAAGTCGAACCTGGGTGCTCCAGATGAGAGGTGTCCAAAGATTGGTGGAATGGAGTCTGTTGGGCCATCCAACGGTCACATCTGGTAAAAGGCAAGAGGTGAGTTCGATAGGAGGTCCCACTCCGGCGGTTTCCAGGACTTTCGCACTCTAAGTACCCTTTCTCCCAAGAGATCCACTCTTTTCCCTCTGCTTCCGTACCCCCGCTCTTCGCGTCCATCCTCTGTATTGAGCTCAATCCCTCGAAGGTCTCGTCCATATCTGCCAATTTCAACTCGTCGGCCTCCCAAGTCACCCTGAGACCAAACTATTGCCGCAAACCTGTCATTTACCCCTCTGCAGACAAGAATTTTCTGCCCATCATGACATCCACCCTGGCTTCGTGCATCTTTTGCAAGATTATCAAGGGTAAGCTACCAGAGCACGTGATCCTAATACCTCTCCGAATCCCCGCAGTATCAACGTGATCATGAAGTTGACTCCCCAACACAGGCGAGATCCCCTGCTTCAAGCTCTTCGAGAGCGACAAGACATTGGCCTTTCTCGATATCAACCCGCTTAGTCGCGGTCATGCTGTGAGTAGTTGCTTCGAATTTCAGCAAGTCATCTTTTTAAACCATTGACTAACATCAGCACAGCTCGTCATTCCCAAGCACCACGGTGCCAAGCTTGCTGATATCCCTGACGAGCACCTCTCGGAAATTCTCGTCTGTCTTACCTCGCAATTCTTTGGCAGTCGTCAGTTTTCTAACAGCATGCCACCAGCCTGTCGTCAAGAAACTCGTTGCCGCCAGCGGAGCCGAAGATTACAACGTCCTCCAGAACAACGGCCGCATTGCTCACCAGATGGTCGACCATGTAAGTTGACATTCTACCCAGCCTCCCTCGCAATACTCGACCACTGACATGATACAGGTTCACTTCCACATGGTAACTGTCGTCCGATTCTCCTCTTTTGAATACGTCGCTAACTTCTTCGCTAGATTCCAAAGCCAAACGAGGCCGAAGGTCTTGGTGTCGGTTGGCCTCAACAGGCAACCGATATGGACAAGCTCAAAGCGCTGTTTGAGGACCTTAAGTCCAAGATGTAAACCCATTCAAAAGTGGTATATTCGAGCCCTCCTGCTATTTATAGCAGCAGGAAGAACGTCTAGGTCCCTGTAATTCAAACAACCCTCCGGGCGCCGCCAGCTTGTTTTCTTTTTGATCTCTCTATCGCGTGTGTAGCCTCATGAAACTCGTGCCGATCTCGTCGGATTCTAATCTACGTCGTCTGCTGATGTCTCGACGTTGGTTGCACCGTTAGTCGGCACGGCGGTTGCAGTCTTCGGATAAAATTCGACGTTTCCACCATCGCGGATGACGCCGGTTCGGTCCAGAACACACTTGGCGCGCAGGTAAGGGTCCAACTTCCAGTAATCGTCCCTGAGCTTGTGAGCAAGCTCGTCCCTCTGCACCTTGATACCAGCCTCCTTGTCGGTTCCTGCCTCCTTGATCCATTGCAGTGTGGCTTCCTCATATTGAGAAATGAGTTCTTCTCTCCCGGCGAGGAGAGCATCCCGCGCGGCGGCGTCCTTCATCTTATCGTTCTCTCCAGCGACCGGCTCGACATACTTGTAGTCCCAGTCCTCCTGGCCGTCGAGTTCCTTGAGGATGTGGCTCGTGGGGATGAATTCTTCCATCTCTTTGACGTTGTTGGTAAAGTGAACCTTGCTGGCTACGACAGGATCTAGCCAGCCCTTGATGATCTTCCAGATGCCTTCCCTTTGTTAACTATTACAGATTTTGATACTTGTGGCCCAGAGTGAACAAACCTTGGAATACCCAGGGTGCTTTGTGCACTAGGACAGCTCCTAGGGATTCAGGGTAGTTTGCCTCGAAGCACTTGATCATGAATTTGACGGGTGTGTAATCCTGGTATAATAGTCAGTCTTGCCTGTCAGCTAATATTGGTGATGCTACCCACCATGTTGGCCATAGAAAAGCCAGTCATGTCAAAAACAATTGTCTGGAATAATTTAGTACCATGTTGTCCAGTCCATGCCTTGGAGCAGTACATACCGCAGTGTCAATGGGGGGGGCCAAAACCATGCGACACGTCTCGATCAAGAAAACTGTGTACTTCTCGAGACTCTCCTCGCACTGCTCGCCTTGTCGGTGCATACGGACTCTCACCATGCAAATTGGTCGTCCTGCTTTGTCAATGCCGTGGATAAAGGTCTTTCCGGATCGGGCCTGAGCCATGAAGTCCTGGCCAAGCTTCTTGGTATTTGCGTCCGCGCTCTGAGAAGCTTCGAGAGCACCCTCCTCGCCGTTTTTCATGATCTCCTCGTCAACCTTCATCTCAGTCAATCTCCAATTCATGGTCGAGATCATCATCACGAAGGCCTTATCAACATCCCACTTCCGCGCCCTCAGAAAGCGCAGAGCCAGGGCATCTGGGTGGTCATGCTTGACCATGGACCATATTGTGGCACGCAGGGCATCGGGACTCTGACTGGCCAGGGCCTCGAGGAATTGCTTGGTCTGACCATACTTGTCTTCTCCATCGTCCTTGATGTGGCTGCTGACGGTGCTTGAGGAAGCTACTTCCTCTTTCTTGTCTTTGCGATTGAAAAGTGAGACGCGCTTCTTCTTGGGCTTCTCATTTTTGCCTGGAGTCGAAGTCTCACTCGGGGCTGTGCTTGCGGCTGCGCTGTCTGCTGTTGCATTGTCTTCACCCAAGGACAGAATCAGGTTCCACAGCTTGCGCAACTTCTCTTCCTGGTCTGGGGTAAGATTTCCTGGTCTTCCTGGGGGCATGTCGGACGCCATGGTTTCCAGCGACAGGCTTTCGGAGCTCAAGGGGTCGGTGTTGGTGCTGGCGCCAGGTGCGGATTGCTGGTATTGCAGGCCGAACCCAAGGCAAACGAAGAAGACGGCGATTGAGAGTGTGACGAAGTCGATGCGGGACTGCAGCAAGACGCGCGGAAGCTTTAAGTTGGAGGGCGATGACTGTCCTAGTCCGTGTATGCGCACTCGCCCGAATTTCGATGGTACAAGATGGCAGTTGGATCGCCCAATGGTAAGTTCAACCAGGGTGCGCCGTTCAATGTGCGAAGACGAGGGCACAAAGCAGTTCCTCGAAGTTGTTGCAAGGACTCTTTGTGGAAATGTGATAATGCGAGGCAAAGCCGAGGGTTGCGGTTTCAAGCTGGCCAGCATCAGTCGAGAAGGTCTATTAATGCCCGGGCCTAATTTGACGCAGCTGACACAGGATCTGGCACGGTCAGCAGGGTCATCCCAAATTGAACTTTGTGGAAGACGAAAGCCACTTGTAAAAGGGCGACGTCAAATAGCCAAGCAGGCGAGGCCGAGGGGGTGTTTGCTAAAGACAGTTCTCGTCTGCGACTAGGCGAGGAAAAAATGCCGTAATGACACAATATGTGAGGTGGAATGAGCTGAGAGTCACAAAGGCACTTACGCGGACTTGAAGAAGACGCCGAAGAGTAGAGTACCAATGTTCGTGGGTTGTCTGATGCTGTTGAGGACCACGACCGCAAACAACAGAGCGATCGATGATGGTCCTAAAGTGGGCTCGGACAACAGCAGCAGCGATATTAAGATGTGGCAAGCACACGGCCGACAGTTACGGACAGTACACAGTGGCCTCGTTGTTGTTGGTAGGTGGTATACAAGTAACGGAGAGCGAGCGAGCGCCGCAAGGTAGGTTTGCGCCGGAGCTGTAGCTGACGCTCGGACTGTGATGATGAGCCGCGAATGATGCGGACGGAAGACCTAGCTGGCGGGAGCAAATGGAGGGCAGGGTTAGGGGAAAAGGGAGAGGAGGGGAATGGAGGGGAGGGATTGAGGGATTGAGATTGAGGGAGGGGGGAGGCTTAGACGTGGACCAAAACGGCGACGACGACGACGACGCCGTCGCAAGGATCGAACGCTCTGCTGGCAACCAAGAAGCTGCGGTAGCTATTCAATCTCCGGGCGTTCCGGAAGTGAGTGGTTCAGTTCAAACGCACCAGCAGACAGGACAGCTTCCGTTAATGTGGGTAGGTAGTAGTTAGGCAGTCTGGAGAACGTCAGCTGTAAAGATCAGCAGGTGAATGGCGGGTGCGATGCTGAAACTGTGAACTACGACGAATGGTTCTCCATGAGCGCGGATGTGAGCAAGTGTGCGCGCAAGTGTTGGGGCAAGGGAGGGGAGGGGAGGGGAGGGGAGGGGTAATTACCTAGGTGCCTGTCTTTTGTGAAAAGGTGGCTGTGACGGGAAGGAGCGAAGACGGTTCGGGAGAGGTAGGGTAGGTAGGTACACGCAGCGCCCGATCTACCTGGCCCTGCATACCTTCCTTACCTTAGGTATTATTGACTGCTATCCAGATGTTTGAGACGACAATGATGGAGCCGAGCGATGAAATACGACGTACTCTGCGTATTCGTATGAATGAAGGGCTCAAGGTATTCGTAGCGTATCTACCGAAGTTACGCGAAAAAGCCCGCTGGCTTTTGACATCCGTTGCGACTCACTCGGCGCAGCTTATTCCACCTGCAGATACTGGACTCACCCACGCGACCTCACCCAGGCTGGGAACCTGGGGAATACGGAGACAGGTACCTGACGTACCTAGCTGCCCAAGCGACGAATAAGGTCCAGTGCCTTACTAGGTAACCTGCCGAGGTTTGCGTCATTCAGTGACATTGAACAAAATTCTGCTCCCCGTCGAGTACCTATTATAATTAGGTACAGTGGTTGTCAGTTGACCCCTCCATGCCAACACGTGCAGAACTGCAGTTTTAGGGACCCAACTTACAGGGCCCGGGCACCGTCAACGATGTGGTCGATTCGTCGTCCCGGCCAGCAACCTTGGTTGCGGGGGGCTAAGGTAGGTAAGGTAGGTTGTCAGGTTGAACCCCGCCAGAGACAGGAACAACAGCCGTGCGCAACGGCCACTCGCATCATTTGTTGACGTTGATTCTCGCTTCAGTTGATGCCCTTCCGAACCCATTCGACAGCTTCCCGCGTCAATCGCAACGCCGCGAAAATACTGCTACCGACGCTGCGCAGATAGCCACCTACCAAGAACACATCGTCGTCAATCTCTGTACTCTCCGCATCCGCACCACACCGCCTCCAAGCATGGCCGACCACCCCGAGTACAGCGGCAAGCGGTCGACCTCAAGAACGCGTACGTCGCGTCCCACGACCCCGCTACGCCCCTCTTCCAGATCATCTTTCAGGGAATCGGCCAGAGAAAGCGTCCATGGAGGCGAACCTTTCCCTCTGAACACTTTCGAGCCAGCCTTTGCTGAGCTGTCCGACGCCATGGCCGACCTCGAAGCCAATATGATGCACTTCCAATTGATGCACGAGAGCTTGGCTCGCTTTAGCGAGTCTTTTGCCAGCTTTCTGTACGGCCTCAACATGAACGCCTTCTGCGTCGACTACCCAGAGGTGCGTGTGCCCCAACCAGCGGCTTTCTTGCTTTTAGGCGTGGCTGACGTTGATACAAGGGGCCCATAGCAGAATCTTTCCGACGCGCAAGGCAGCAAGAGGAGTCGGGCGCAGATTCAGGTACGCCTCGCTTTCAGCGCACAGAATCTGCAGATCATGGATTGCGAACTGACGAGTCTCGTATGCACAGCGCCCACACGAACAGACACTGGGCCAGAAAATGACGGCGAGATGACCTTTATGTATTTCTTCCAGGCTACCCTAGTACCGTTATGGACAGTTCCTAACCTACCAACAGGACCACAGATGTTTCTTTCGTCGACAACCCTCCCGCGTCCGCCAAGCCGACCCCGAGATTGAAAACACCCGAAGTCCGAGGCTCGCGTGTGCCGGCTCCAAGTACTCGTGGCACTTCAGCCCGTGGCGCAAGAGGAGGACGCCGTGGAACCGCCGAGTCGCAAAGAGGCCGGCCTAGTGGTCTGGCCCGTGCCCGAGGCCGTGGTGTCCGATGAGTATGTTCCATGGAGATTTCGCCATGGCATACAAAACAAGTCGAGGTACTGCTTCCCCACCGCACCGGATTCTACTGGCGTCAGTGCAGAGGATGTCGAGTGCAGGGAAGTGGGAACGAGATGATACAGTGGCCATTTCCAGTTCGTCGTAGTGAAAGGGTATCATTCAGTTGTCTACTTTCAAGCCACAGGTAGACGTGTGGGCGGAGACGATCAGGTCTCCATCTCAACCTCCTGGTCGACGGCCCTCTCCGGACCGCCCTTGCTAGGGCCTTTGTTATCCGTCCGGAGACCAACGACAGCCTCGGCTTCCTTCTGGGTGTAAGGCTCCTCCTTGAGCTGCTTGACTCTTAAAAGATAGTTAGCAGTGTGACAATACGAAGAGGATCAAGTATGTAGCGGATGTCGACTCGGTACGAACCTGCGCTTATGAGGCTTTCCCTTCTGATGACCGACCAGGCTGATCTCGGTTTCGAACCATTTGGCGCATTCGACGCAATAGTGCTGACCCAAGCCAGGGAGGTCCTCAGGCGCCTTCGTGTCCTTCCATTGCCGCAAATGTCGTGGAGAAAGCATGTCGGCCTTGATCTGGTCGACGTCTCTGTCCAGGTTGTCAGAAACGCCCCTGAATACAATGCGAAGTCTTCGGGCCTACCTCAACTTCCTCCGCGTCTTGGTCAATGTCCGCTTGTTTCCCACGCCCATTTTGCTGGCTTATCAGTGATGGTTGGCTTGAAGGGCGAGGTTCGCAGGCGCGTTCGGGATTCTGAAAGTGGCAGAATTCCCAAAAATGTAGGTCAAAATGGGAATGGCGGGGCAGAATTTTGGCAGTAACTGTAAAAAAGTTGCTTCACCGCTCACGGGGGTCCGTGTGTCTGTTCGGCTCCGAACCCATCAACCATGGAAGACGGGACACCTAAGGTAGGTAGGTAGTGGGTACCTGAAGGTGCCTAATTACGTACACAAGATCGGCGCTAAGTGTACCGGGATAGCTGGGTCGGGTATGTCTAATGTTGCTGACAGAATATGATCACGTGGTGATAAGCCGAACGGCCTGGAACGCTGGTTCTTTCTTATCTGGCATTTTTGGAGGATCGTCCGAAGAGGCCCGAGAGGACAGTGGGCATGCGACAGGCTGTCTTCAATTTCCCACTCGCCGCCAGACACAAGCGTGCTTGGTCCCAACTCGAGGTTCCTGCGTCGCCCGACATCAACTTCCCCCCGAAAAGATCGCCCAGAGGATATAAAAAGGAAAATCCACCAGAATTGGCCTGCGGAACCCTTGAGGATTCCGCGAAACCGTCGTCGGATCCGGAGAAGGCGGAACAATGGCCTCCAACGTGACGTCCTTCAGCACTCTCAGGGCCCGGTCCTACATCTTTCGGCTACCTCTTTTTACGCGCATCGTATTGCTCGCAATTGTGGCAGCATGGGCTGCCAGCTTACAACCGGCTTGGGACGTGAAGCAATGGGGCGCGTTGATCCCAGACCAGCTGTCCTTCACGTCGTGTGAGCCCCTCTCGCATCCCCTTCTGCGAAGGCCTGATTGCTAATTCTGGCTTCCGCGATAGCGTACCGAATGAATACATATCCCTTCGTGCACATTAATTTCATCCATGTTATCCTCAACCTTGTCGCCTTGACACCGTTACTGGAGCGATTCGAGGCCGAGTTCGGTACCCTGACGTCTGTTGCGCTGTTCATCGGCCGTACGAACTTCCTCACGATATCCCTGCGGTCCATCTCTTACTGAACTGTTGGCAGCGCTCTCAACGATTCCGGCTGTCGTATACGTGCTGATAGAGCGATTTCTCTTCAAGGGCAATGTTAGTGTTATGGGCGCTAGGTGAGGAAGAGAACCCAAGACTTGATGAATCTAAGAAACTTGACATAGAGACTGATGTCTGGCGCATCACAGCGTATGGGTCTTTCTGCTTCTCGGAATGGAGGCTATCCGCACATATAAGACGAACCCTTACTTGACGATTGCGACCCACTCCATTCCTACATGGACAACGCCATTGATCCTCGTTCTGGTCGTTACAGCGCTCGTTCCCGGCACGAGTTTGCTAGGCCATCTGTGTGGTGTTTTGGTTGGATATCTTTGTGAGCCACAACGTGCAAGCACCCTTCTTATTTTTTGCAACACTAACATCCTGCCTTCAGTTGGCCTCGGATATCTCAAGTTCCTGAGCCCACCGGAGAAGGCATTGCGCTGGGTTGAGTCAAAGCTGAACCTCTTGGGACGTCTGCCTCACTACGTAAGCGTCGACCAGAAGACGTATGGTCGTTTCGGTGTCTTGCCCTCCAGCAGCCACCCTCCCGGTACCAGCGCACCCATTGCTCTGGTGGGCAGCACGCAGAGACTCGGTCCTTGAAACAGGAACGCCGGACTGTACTATATATTCGATCTATTGCCCCAAGCAGACGAATCGCGTCTTGGTAGGAGTTTGGAGTTACGCTACGGGCAAAGGGGACATCATTGTGTTGATTCTGTTCCCTCTGCCAGGGGCTTCTCTTTGTAGTATATTGTAAAACGGGATTCGTCCTCGTCCATTCTCGGGGTGCGCTTAGACCAGCACTTATAAAACTCCAGGTGCTTGGAGTAGAGTTAGTCTGAAGACCTGAATGATAAGATATCTCATGGGTGTGCAAATTCTTTGGCAAAACCTGAAAGCCGCACGCCTCCCAAACATCGATGGTTAAGAGTACAACAGGCGAAAGAAGCTGAGTTGTACATTTTTGACGGGACCTTTTGACGGGACCCTGGATGTGTGTGTGTCCCTTGCATGTTCGTCGAATTGTGTTTCTCGGGCCTCAACGACCCCGGGCCATCTGACCAGGGGTAGGTAGGTAAGCTTGGCCAACGCGCTCGGATAAATGACGGGAATATTTGGGCAAAGTTACAGCACAGGCAAGGCACTCGTAGCGTACCTCACCTTACCTACAGCCCTACTGGCACCTCGGCGTTAGGTACCTTGAGGAAAGGTAAGGTACCTCACTACCTTAGCTGACAAAAGGTCAGGGGCCTAACCTCAAGGTACGAACAACCACCCCCCTGGGGATGACGACTGTTTTCAAAAGAACCATCGCGCAGACTGGTCGATCAGAATTGTGCGATTGCGCAGCTTAGTGAAGCTGCCGCAGAACGAAATCGTCATGTCACGACTGATATGTGAGGACGCAAACCGCCGTTGCTCTGTCTGGCATCGAGCAGCTCTGACTTGTCCCTAATAGCTTCGGCCCTCTCGTTGCGACGCGATCCACGCATCCTCAAGCTTCCGCCCTACATTTCTCTGGCCTGCATCCTCGGTGGTATTGCTTGGCTGTTCCTCCTGCCGCTCAACGACTACTCCCGTAGAACCTACATTTCCGAGAATGCGCTTCTTCCCGGTCAGGTACACACCTATTTCGGAGGAAGCGACCAGAACGTATTGCGGGCGTATAAGCAAGAGGTCAACTCGGTTAGGGACAAGTCCAACTACGAGTGTGTGCACTCCCATTGAAGCACCACATAGCTACGAGCTGACGGTCGTCCCCATCTAGAATTAATGACAAGCTGGAAGGTATCCTGAAGAACGTCGGGCTCAAAGTCGGTCGCCAAAACTACACGTACGAGTCGGCCGGCGACATTTACTCAGGCGAGAACATTTACGCCATCCTACAAGCCCCACGCGGCGATGCGACGGAAGCGATTGTGTTGGTAGCAGCTTGGAGGACGGTCGATGGCCACTTCAATCAAAATGGCATTCCGCTAGCATTGACCCTGGCCCGGTACTTCAAGAGGTGGTCTCTATGGTCCAAAGACATTATCCTGGTTGTTCCCCCCGACAGCAGAACAGGAACCCAAGCCTGGGTCGACGCCTACCACGACTCCCATGACTCCGCCAGAGTGAACTCTCTACCTCTTAAGTCCGGCGCCCTCCAAGGCGCCATTGCCATTGATTATCCCCAGGAACATCGATTCGAGTCCATCCACATCATTTACGACGGCATCAATGGCCAGCTTCCAAACCTGGATCTCATCAACTCTGTCGTCAATATTGCCGGAGGCCAGATGGGTATGGGAACCGCCATTCAAGAGATGTGGACGCACTCGGACAAGTACCAGGACCGTCTGCGTACTATGCTTCGAGGCATGCTGAATCAAGGCCTGGGACACGCCTCTGGCCCCCACAGCAGCTTCATACCTTACCACGTCGACGCGGTCACACTGCAGCCTTTCGGTGAGGGATGGCATGATGAGATGGGCATGGGCCGTACGATCGAAGGCACTTTCCGCAGTCTGAACAACCTTCTCGAACACCTCCATCAGAGTTTCTTCTTCTATCTGCTCATGCATAAAGAGAGGTTCGTCAGCATCGGCACCTATCTGCCTAGCGCCATGATCTTGGCAGCAAGCTTCACAATCACTGCCATTTCGCTGTGGGTGAAAAGCGGCCATCAGGAACAGCCTCCCATTGTGGTCAAGTCAGCCATCAAGTCAGAAGGCGAAGTCCCCGCGAATGATAAGCCTTCCGAAGACGCTTTGCGGGAGACAGCGAAACACACACTTCCCACTAGAGCCGTTGAGCGGGATCTATTCCTGCCACTCGGTGTCGTGGCCATCTGCCAGTTCCTGGGCGTGATTCCGCTGTACGTCTTCAACCACATGCCCGCAAGTGTAAGTTTCGACCAATCCTGAATCCTAATTTCGTTTGCTTTTCTCTGACAGCTGCAACAGATGCTTGCTGGGGCGTACACGGTCTTTTCGCTCACTAATTGTGCTCTACCCTTCCTTATCTCTTCGCTGATGACATCCGTCTACAACCCTACGGTTCAGCAATACCAGCTCATCAAGTCATTCTCCCTACTTTTGCTGGGCATGTTTCTCTCCGCTCTAGCCACCCTTAACTTCTCTCTGGCCTTTCTTGTGGGGGTTATGGCCAGTCCACTCTCCTTCATGCACCCATGGCCGCACCATCCTGCCATTCGGTGGGCTTGCGCGGCTTTCCTTCAACTCGTCTCACCTACGGCAGCTCTGTACTCCGTCTCGACTTACTTCGATATTAGCATCGGGGAGGTCCTCAAAGAGGCGGCTTTCGGTTGGGACGTTTGGGGCATGTACACGCCTGTCATCATCTGGGGTGTGTGGTGGCCTGCTTGGCTGATGGGTTCGGTTATTGTCCTCGGGAACCCTGCGTCCTCAGCGAAAAGGGCTTAGACGCGACCATTCGAGTCGTTGGCATTCAAGAAAAACCAGTGGGGCGTTTCAAGAAGAGGGCATGTTTTCAAGCATCCATTAACTCAGGACTTGCATATATCAGAGGCATGGAGGCCGTTGTTGTTTGTTTGTCATCAGAATCATTTTGGCCCACCGTCAAGGGCCAGTTTCTCTTCGTCTCTCTAATTCTAGTGGTGTACACTGGCCTTTCCTACCGACCAACATTACAGACGCCTTTTTGGTCAGCCCGTAATCTTTCCTCTTTCCTAAGCAGCCCACACATCGCCACCGGCCGTCTCGATCCAGTTTCCGAGCTGGTTAACCTGAGAGTCCCAGTCAAGCAGCCGCTGGCGCATGTTGGCAATCTGCTTCATGTCAAGAACCTTCGGCTGGACCCAAGTAATGTGCGCAACCTCATCCACCTGGTCAATATTTCCACGCAAGAGGCCCAGACTCAGGGCCTTCATGATCAAGTGCTCGATCTCGTCAGGGCGAACCTTAGTCTCCTGAGCGATGGTGCTGAAAGACATAGCGCGGTCGTGGGGCGGGCGGCGGAAGACGGCCTCTGTCAGAGCAGCCAGGTAGATCTTCTGGCGCAGGTGGCCTGCATTCTCGTTGAGGAGTTCCTTTGAGCGCATCTTGGCAGAAAGGGCCTCGAAACCTTGGAGGTCGCCACGGTTGAAAGCGAAGAGCAGGTCGCGAAACCACGAGTCCTGGGTTCCCTTGAGGGCATCGAGGATGGGGTGCAGAAGAAGCTCGCCAAAGTTGTAGATGGTGTCGGATACCAAGGCGGCGATGCTGAGGTGCAGCGCCCGTCTATGGCGCTCTTGAGGTGTGAGAGAGTTGAGGTCGATGCAGGCGAGGTATAGGAGGGCGTTGCGGTAGTATGCGGCGAAGTCCATCTTGCGCTATGGGAAATTTCAGTCAGTAACGGCCCAAGATCGATAACACCACAGTTTTCCTACCTGGTAGTAATTGGCATTCGCATCGTAAAAGGCGGCGTGGACAATGGTCTCGACCGAATCGAAGCTGTCCAGTATTCTCTCGGCCGAATCGAGGTCCTTCCTGGCGCCGTCCATATCCTCCAAGTTCAACTTTACTCTAGCAACGGCGACAGATGCGTACACCAGAGCATCTTGTGAGTTCTCGCTATCGACCTTCATCGCAACACCCTGAAGGAAAGAGAGGCGCTCCTCGTCATCTATGCCGTCTTTGTCAGCGTCCACCGTCACTGGTCAAGGTCCCATTGCTTCTTACCCTTGCATTCCGTGGCGGCCTTCAAAGCCAGATCAACGAGCTTGAGCTGGTTTATCTTATCCGCAAACTTGAGGATGAAGACCTTGTAGAAGGACAGCCGCTGGGCCTTGCTGCCTGGGTGGCTAAAGAACTGACCCAGAGCATCGGTAAGCTGGTGCCACAGCTTCCGCTCCCAGTAGTTCTCAAACTCCAGAACAAGGTGCTGAAGCTCCTCGGGGGCCTCGTCGCGCTGCTCCGCTAGGAAATCGGGAATTGTGTCGACGTTCATCTTCGTGGAGGTGGAGGTGGAGGTTGAGGTTGAGAGGCTCGTGTGGTGGGGTGGGAGAGCTTCGAGTGCCCGGGGCGACGACACAATCGAGGCTGATTGCGATAATCACAGTTTCGTTTCAATTCGTAGATACGTGGTAGAGGCGCTACTGCCTAGAAGCCGAGTGTCTGTTTTGGTGGTGCCAAACGCCGGAAGCTTCGTGGAGTTGTAAAGCAGTTGGTATGTGATGGATGCAAGCTCCGGAGCGGAGGGACGATGCACACAACGCGGCTAGCCAGCAGCCTGGTCAGTCAGCTACGTGCTGCCTACCTACCTAAGGTACCTACCCTACCTCTACCTACCTTACTAAGTTACTCTTGCTATCCGTACTCAGGACGCTTTGGGCCTGACAATCCTTACCTAAGCTGCCAAGTAAGGGACGGGTCCCGACCGGATCCATGCTACAGCCAATGGTCGTTTTTCCGATCCTATGACCAAATCTGGTCCGTGCATCCACGTGACCCGCCCGTCCGCCGCCCCGGTCTGGATGAAGCTCGCGACTTTGGAGCTTTCGACTACGCTAAAGCATTCAATCGGCAGTCAATTGGGAGGCTATCGCACTCATTCATCGCCGCCTCGATACCCGACAATGGCCTCCTTTCCGACCGCCGTGCGGTCAACCCAGAAGGTTGCGCGCAATGTCCTGAGAAGGCAGCCCATTTCTGATGTTGCCATCACCCGGACGGGCAAGCCCATCCTACGAACACAGGGCGGAAGGTAGGTGGACGGTTCAATTGTGCGGGCAAAGAGTACTGTTAACACCATGTTCTTCCTAGACACTCCCTCGGTGGTATGCTTTCCTTCGCTCGACCCGGAATTCTATCTAAAAACGAATCGCAGGACACACTGCGACGGTATTTGGCGCAACGGGCCAGGTTGGACGGTACATCGTGAACAGACTTGGTACGACGCGGATATCTTCGACAATGGCAACACATCTGACTCTTCAATATAGCCCGCCAGGGATGTACGGTCGTCATTCCCTTCCGTGAGGAGATGGCCAAGCGGCATCTCAAGGTCTCTGGTGATCTGGGCAGAGTCGTCTTCATTGTATGGTCTCCCTGCAATAGAGGGGTTCATCGCGATCAATGGCTAAATATCATGTTAGGAGTACGATCTCCACAACACCCAGTCAATCGAGGAGAGCGTCAGACATTCCGATGTAGTTTACAACCTGGTCGGCCGAAATTATCCCACCAAGTAGGTTATCTGTATGCGTGGGCACCGGGAACAATGGCTAAGAGCGCCGCAGGAACTTCTCGCTGGAGGATGTTCACGTTGAGGGAACCGAACGCATAGCTGAGGCTGTTGCCAAGTACGATGTGGATCGCTATATTCACATGTCGAGTCACAGCGCCAGCCTGGACTCTCCATCCGAGTTCTACCGCACCAAGGTCAGATACAGAATACTCAAGACAAAGGTGATGGACTAACCAGTCCAATAGGCACGCGGAGAGCAGGTCGCCCGCAGCATTTACCCCGAGACGACCATCGTGAGACCGGCACCCATCTTCGGCTTCGAAGACAACCTTCTCCTGAAGCTTGCCAGCGTTATGAACCTTTTCACTGCCAACAACATGCAGGAGAGATTCTGGCCCGTTCACGTACGTTTGAAACACGAGTATTAGTTGAAATGCGGGCCCTGACAGTTGTAGTCTATCGATGTAGGCCAGGCTCTTGAGCTGATGCTCTACGATGACAGCACCGCTGGCCAGACTTTCGAACTCTACGGCCCCAAGAACTACTCCATGGCCGAAATCGCTGAGTATGTCGACCGTGAAATCTTCAAGAAGCGCCGCCACATCAACGTTCCGAAGAAGGTCCTTCAGCCTGTTGCCGGCCTGTTGAACAAGTTTCTTTGGTGGGACGTCATGTCCGCCGACGAGATCGAGCGTGAGTTTATTGACCAGGAGATCGACGAGACAGCAAAGACCTTCAAGGACCTCGGCATTGAGCCCGGTGACATCGCCAAGTTCACCTACCACTACCTGGTAAGACCCCGTGTGAGGTTTATCTGGAGATAGCCGATACTAACTATGCTGAAGCAAGGATTCCGCAGCGGCAACTTCTACGACCTTCCCCCAGCAACAGAGAAGGAGAAGAAGGAGGAGCGCAAGTACCTGCACGTTCTTGACGATCAGTAAGCCTGGATTCCATTTGTTGGGGAGGGATTATTCTGGGCCAGCAAGTCGTTTAGTGTGTAAATATTAGTCAGCTAGACAAGTTGCAAAAGTCGAGGAATTCATGTACAGTCTGAATACGTCATTTAAGAGTGCAAGTCTAGACTGCGGCCGTGAGATTGTTCGTAGCGGCAATCGTCGAATGAAGGTTTGCGGTGCCAGCTGATTCGTTGAGGCTGCTACGCTGGGTTTTGACGCTCAAAATAGGGTCCCCCACCCTCCTTTTGCCGTTTACCTCACGCTGCAATTACCAAAACTCAAGTGCTCACTTGATCCACCACATCGCTCTCGTCAATTGTCGAGCCGTACTGACCTGAAGAAGCGGATCCCTCACTGAACGTTGACTCGATATGGACAGTGACGACGAGCCTCTGTAAGTCATTTGTTAGAACCGTCTGAAATTTTCTCTCCAAACGCCACCCCACTAATCAAACGCCCCTCAAAAAATCATGGCAGAAACCGACTAATATCAATCAACAGCACCCTCTCTTCTCACGCTCTTGCGGCCCTGGCTGAGTTCAACGCCGAGAAAGATGCCCATCAGGAAAAGTTTGAGAAGCTCCAGGCGCAAGCCGAGGCCAATGCTGCCGGCGGTGCTCCTCTGTCCATGGAGGCTTTCACTGAAGACTGGAACGAGTCGCAGTTTTGGGTACGAATCATTGAAGTTCTCATTTCACTCAACGTCGTACGTACTAATTTTCTGGTGCGCAGTATTCCGACGAGACTGCAAACCTGATCGCCGGACAGCTCCTAGAGGGTGCTGGCGAAGGCATGACCATTGGCGTTGTGTCTGCGCCCAGCGTGTTTGTTGCGTTGCGGAACTTGCTAGTATGGTTATCAGGGACAGCAATCCTTTTGCAGGCGCGTGACTAAGTCTGGGAACAGAACGCGCGCGATCGCACTCTGGGACGGCCTAAGGTTTTGCTCCTTGAGCACGACATGCGATTCAACGTTTTCCCCGAGTTTGTCTTTTACGATTTCCAGCAGCCATTCAAGCTTCCAGGTGCGTCATTCTCGACCACAGATTTGTGAGAGAATAGTGTTTTGATATTCGATGATTCAGTTGAGCTGAAGGGCGCGATTGATCGCATCGTTTGCGACCCCCCGTTTCTCAGCGAGGATTGCCAAACGAAAGGTACGAAATCCTAAACCATTCTTAAGCCTCTGAATCGCTTTCTGACAATAATGCAGCCGCCATGACGGTGCGGTGGATGATGAAGCCTAACACCGCTTCTAAGGGACGAGTAGTTGTCTGCACAGGCGAGAGAATGGAGAGTCTCGTCAACAAGGTTTACAAAGCACTGGGCGTTAAAACCACGACTTTCGAGCCCAAGCATAGCAGAGGTCTTAGCAACGAGTTTTACTGCTACGCCAACTTTGAGTGCAAAGACTGGGAGTGGAGGAATGAGGCTAGTTGAGGAAGCAGGAGGAGCGCTTTTCTCTTGGCTTTGGACGAGCTCTCATTACAAAGACCAAACAATTCCCCCGGATGTGAATTGAAATAGTAGTACAATTCGCTGGTTTCTCGCTGTTCTATACAAAGATGGCCTTTCCCTGGTCGCCAGGGGATGTGATGCCAATGCTTGCCATCCAATGCGTTTGATGTCTGCCAAAGACCCAAACCTAATGTTGATGCAAGACCGAGATTCTTTCCAACGCCGACAAAATGCTAGTCCTGACACCTTTCCCGTTTTTCAGACTATCACCCCCTGCCAACGCTCCTCCTTATCGAACGCCGTTCATCATATACTCGGCGTAATATGTGCTCTTTCCCGATGAAGATTACGAGAGGGAGCGGATTATGTAGAAGAGTAGATAGGGTTGGGCACTAAGCACATCCGACTTGGAGGCCATCTCGACCTTGTGGTCGTTGAACTTGAACCACTGGTCGCCCACCCGACAGTAGGACACGTAATGGCCTGGCAAAAGGAGTTAGTGCTGGACTGCAGCTGCATTGTTCTCCGAAAATTACTTACCAGTGTCGATTTCGCCGACATGGACGACAACGCTAAGTAGGTCGTATGTGCAGGATCTGCCCAGCTCGTGCGCGTCCTTGGCTTCCGTTCCTCTGCCTCTGCTCGTATATGGCAGCATATTGAGCTGCAGTGGAAAGTTGACAACGGTGTCAATCTTTGACGGCGCCCTGTCGTGGCGGCCTTGCTTGTACTCGAAGCGCTTTCCAACCAGGTTAGTGGTATACAATGATGGCTCAAGCAAGAGCCGGACTGACCTTCAGCTGAATGGCAAGCACGTTGGGCAGACGCTTAATACTGGTATTCCTTCGTGCTTGCTGCATGCCGTTGCAGTTGTGGCAGCGGTACTCGCACTTGTCGTACTTGACGTACTCCTCGTCCAGACATTCTTGAAGTGTCAGGCTCGGGATCTTCTGGCCGCCCTTTTTCCTCTTATGAGCAAGGTTTTCGAGTCCCAAGCTGAGATCGAGGAAAGATTGCACGGCGTTCGTCACACCGCCGCAGTTTTGGCACGTCGTGGAGCTTTGAAGCTTGCCATAGAATGTCTGGTGGATGATGCAGTTGCAGGTATGCTCGCTACCCGTCTCCGGCTTCTTTCCATCCCCATTGCGTTCATGTAGCTCCTCGGCTAGGAACTGGAAGAACTCGTGCGCGTCCTGTTCCTTGGTGGTTACAAGGTTTTCAAAAGCCTTTTTCTCCGAGATCCAGAATCCAGACAGGATGCTAGCCGCTGTAAAGCCATTGGTATTCTCAACTGCATAAAAGTCCTGAAACATATCGTCCATGGCACAGCTCAGGCAGTTTGTCAATTGGCAATCGTTGCTCTGGTGTCCATCACTCAGGTAGAAGTTCCGCAGCATGGGGTTGTGAAGGAAGCTCTGCAGCACGACGTTCTGATAGCAAGTAGCACCAGCGTTGTATATGCCACGCAGGCCATTAGCCTTGCAGGAGGCGGTTGTCGTGTTGGTTGAGATGTATAGGGGGTTGTCCTTGATGCTGTCGGAGAACATCTCATCATGCTTTCTCTTGCGGTCTGGCACTCGTCAGCACTCGTCTATATTGGCTGTCTCTCCTGCTATCCATCCTGAAACAAGTGTGTGGGTATTCAACGATCTCTTGTAGAGATTCAGCTTACTTGAAAAGGTTCCTGTGCCCATCTTGCGTACACGCAGTTCCTCAAGAGTGGGGTCCCATACTAGGTCATCACATATTTGACAGTAGAGAGCCCCGCTGCGGGAATCAACATCTGACCAAGTCAGTAAGTGGCAAAGGAGCAGGGTAGGTAGAAGAGGGAGCTAACAGAAGCGGTGCTGCTTCTTTGTACCGTGCTTGAGACGATCGTCCTCGGTGACAATGGTTGAGCACTGCAGACAGAGATAGTTGGATGTGAGGGAAGTAATCGCTTGTCCATCAGGATTCTTAGATGTTTGAGGCACAATTGGAGTTCCCTCAAAGATGTTCTTCAATATCATCTTGTAGTGAAACACGGATGAGTTCATGACATCCTGTGACTGGGAGAACAGTTTCTGAACATGCTCTAGTGTCGGTCAGTATTGTCTATGATTTCACAGCAGCGCGTCTAATTCCGAATGGAGCAAGGGTCTACGAACCACAGCCAAAGACCGGTGTGCCTGGAACTGGCGACTTGACCTTAGCGGTCTTGGGGGACATTGGTGTTGTTGGTCGCGCGGACATGTTGTTTGTAGTTGACCAGCCAGGTCCTCGGCGGACTTGAGCCTGTGTCTTTGAAGGAAACCCCTCAGGGTTTATTTCTTTTTTTCTTGTTCTGTTCACCGATAACAGCGATAGGGGTAGCTTGTCGTCAAAGAGTTGCGACAGCTATGAGAAAGTTGCCTTGTGATGGAGAGAAAAGTCTCAGGGCAGTAATGATGGGGAGGAGGGTGATCGGCAGCGCAGGTCGGAAGGCGACCACAACGGCAGGGAATCTGCGACGACACCAATTGTTAGCTTCAAGGATACGAATGTAGGATGGTAAAGCCGTAGCAAACAGAAAACGCATTCACCTCCGTCAACGGCCAACACAAGGCTACTATAGGCTTGCTGGGGATGGGCTGGCAGCAGTTAATCGTGATGATGAAGCTGCTCAAGACACTGGTTCAACGGCGCAAGCCAAGTGTTGCAGGCGGCAGCTTTGCTCGCGAGGCGCCGAGCCCAGGGAATCGCGTTCGAGACGTCGTGGCGGCGGACAGAAGCAGTCGCGGTCTGCAGCAATCAGACAGCACCTGGAGATCGCCAGGACAGGACAGAGGGCGAGCAATTTGGGGGATTTTGGACGATCCCTGGAAGATGCAAAGGTCGAAGCTGGCGCCGCGTGCACAGACGAGAACACTTGCAGGCCGTCCTTTAGCCTTCGTACCTTAGCAGAGACGGGCGCGAGAAGCACCTCAGCCAACAGCATTAATTCCACCTTATCGGCACCTGATCGGGGGGACCGCCTCTTATCGATAAGAACTGAGGTGACCTTATCCGCCTGCCGCCTCGCCCCTGAAGGCAGATATCATAGAGGTTGTTCCACTGGCGCCCAGGGAAGTTTTTAGTGGGGGTGTGATCAGCCCAAGGGCCTGAAGGAGTGGTTGTCACTGGCGATGGAAACCAATGTGATGAGGTAATCCTGCGACCCTTGAGGGAACCAAGTCAGCCCGACCTAAGGTACCTACCTACCTACCTTACGGTGCTAAGCTACTGCCGGTAGGAGATTGGGCGCCTTTCGTCTCAGCCAACCTCGGCATCTTTGGCTGCAACCCCTCGATTGCGCCTTCACTCATCTGCACGGCGACTTGATTTGCCCATATCCAAACAATTCCATCGCGGATCATAGGGGTTGAAAAACACATAAGACGACGGGACAACAATGCGGGGTCTGCTCCGAAGCGCATTCTCAAATTGCATCTCCAACGCCGGTCTGTGACTAAGACGACTGCACAGCTTCGCCCCTCCGAATCGCAAACATCTCGGCTCTGCTTACAGCCACAGCGTCAAAATGGCAACGAAGCTTGTCTCTCTTCCCGAGGTCGAGCGCCTGAGTCCCGTTTGTGTACGCATTCTGGGCGGAAACCCGGGGAAATTCACACTGCAAGGCACCAACACATATCTGCTCGGCCGGGGTAGCCGCCGTATCTTGATCGACACCGGCGAAGGCTTGCCGTCATGGACTGCTGCTGTCAAGTCCACTCTGGAGCAAGAAGAGGCGACCATTGAGACGGTTCTGATCACTCACTGGCACCGAGACCACCAGGGTGGTATTCAGCAGCTCTTGGAGCTGTCGCCAAATTCCAAAATCTTCAAGAACCAGCCCGAGGAAGGCCAGTCGGACATTACGGACGGGCAGAAGTTCGCCGTTGATGGGGTCAGCCTTACGGCTGTCTTTACCCCCGGGCACACTGTGGATCACATGGCTTTCGTCTTGGAGGAAGAGGACGCCATGTTCACGGCAGACAATGTCTTGGGGCAGGGCACAGCCGTATTTGAGGACCTCGCCACATACCTAAATAGTCTGGAGAAGATGAGGCACCTGTTCAAGGGCAGGGCGTACCCAGGCCATGGGCCGGTGATTGACAACGGCCCATCCAAGATTATGGAGTATATCAACCATCGAAAGACCAGAGAGGAGCAGGTCATCCGAACACTGCGATCCAAGAGAAATGTCGGTCCTGACGGAGGCCCTTCAGACACTTGGACACCCATGGAGCTGGTCAAGGTTATTTACCGTGATGTTCCAGAGGAGCTGCATGTCCCTGCGTCCAGCGGAGTCATACAAATTCTCGAAAAACTCGAGAGGGAAGACAGGGTTTCACAGAGCGGCGAAAGATGGACGTGGAGGGGCCATCCGTCGTTGTAAAGTACGTAGAGACTCATAGAGTCCTAAGCAATCCGACGGGCTTTAGCGGGGCATCGGGGCCGAAGACGGGAGCCCGCGGCCGCGAGATGGCCTGTCCAAGGTCGGGCAGAGCGTGTCTTGACCGTCCCTTAGGTAAGAAGATGAGGCATCGAAGCGGGGACACCGCGCGCTGCCAGGAGCTGGATCGTATCATGGTAGAGTCACAATCCGGACGTTTCCGCGACGGAGACGGAATGTTCAATAGAAGGCCCGTAAATGTCAGTGTTAGTAAGTCGGCAGGTTTTGTGTGTGCGTGATTACCGACTTTTCGCGCGCCTTGTCAAAGGCTGGCGTGTTCTTACATGCTGCCAAAGCAGTGCCAACAGACAGGCAGACAGACAGACCGACAGACAAGGCATTCGGAAGGTTCGGACGAGCCGGGCTTCTACCTTGTCTTGTGACGGGGCGGAACCTCAGCACCTACCTACCTACCTACCTACCTCACCTTACCTTACCTACCTTACCTAGGTAAGGTACACTACCTTAGGTAAGGGATGACGTCCAGCGCGTGGCCAGCGAGGGTAACAGTGGGGCAAAGCAACGCTTCTGGAGTCCTGGACGGGAGCTCCAAGACGACGCGTGGGTAAGGTAGGTAGGTAGTTATGCAGTAAGTTACCGGCGTGTACTCAGTACCTCGCTGCCGTGAGTCACAACACTTGAAATACGTTACGTGACGTCGCTCTTGGAATGGTGATGTGGCGGTCGGTGCTGGAGTCAAAATCTCACCCACCACTTCTTCTTGTCCTGTTGGTGCTGTGCATGTTGCAGACGGACTCGCAGCAGGTAGACATGTAGAGTAAATCACAGCGGCCTGCGATCCCGTGATCGATGCGGGTCGGACTCCGACCTGAGTCCGGATTCCACGGGAGACAAGAAGAGGGTGCCGGTAAGGTTGGGTGGGGGCTATCCAGGGAGGGCGGGATCACGATTTTGATGGATGGATCGGACGCAAGGACTTCGCGGCGTAGTATGTCTCCATACGCACGGCTAAGCGAGTCGGTGAGAGAAAACGGAGGAGAACCGGATGTTGCATCTCAAGACGCCGGGTGGTCCATTACGAGCGCCGAAGAGCGTGTCTGGAACGGACTTTATCTGGTGTCCTCTTTTCCTCCGTTGCTGTATATAAGGAGCCGTCTTGGCAAGTTTTCAGCTCTATCTTGGCTGAGCTCCATCTGCGACAACCGATATCACGTACAAAGTATGTTTGACAAGAACTGAGGCTGACGTGCTCCGAGTTGGACGGGTCCATTTGAAATCGAAATCGAGACGCCGCCCACCTTCGGTACTTGGCGCCTCCCGCATCAGCCGGCATTCCGTTGATGATTATTAACGGCATTGCAGCGTCTCTGGCTAGGCATGAGCTCTCACATGGCTGACCTCTGCGCGCCGCGTCCCCCACCCCGCTGCGACGACAGTGGACAGCTCAGCCGGCACGCGGCTCGCAAAGATGCAGGGCTCCCCGCCCTAACCACACTCAGCTTAGCGTCTACTGCATAGTACTGCGTAGTAGTGAGCGGGCAGCAGGCATCGTGATTACCTTCCATTACCTTAAGGCAGCCAGCCCATGCACACAGCAGCTCATCCCTGTCTGGTTCCCCCACTTGAGAGGAAAGACGAGGAAGAAAAAAGATTTTAGGATCCAGCTGCACTTCACACCTCCACCGTTTCCGCGCCGGACAGCACCCGCCAATTCGGGTCGGTGGGTTGCTTGCTGTTCACGTACTTCACCTTACGTAGGTAGGTAACCCAACCCCTAGCAACGCGGCATCTTCTACTTTCTTCGCCGACGTCCACCGCATCCCTCCGGAACCCTCGGAGTCGGCCTTTGTCCTTTGGTGCCATCGACTTACACACCAACATGCAACCCAGCCAGCCCTACTCGGCCTGGCCTCACCTGTCCTTGAACGCCGACACCTCAATTTTGGCAGTCACTGCCTCCGCCGAGTACTGCCCAGAAGCTACCTAGCTACCTTGATGTGCCTACTTTACCTGATCTTGTCACGAGTACCGTCTCTGCAGCATGCCCAAAAGCCCGTCGCGAAATATGGGCTTATCTCGGCCTCCGCTCCGGCGCTGTTCAGCTCTTGCGTTTGTTGCCTCAATCCACATGCCGCAGAGTACTTGTATTCCGGCTTCGCCCTTCCTGGATCCGTGAAGCTATCCCACTCCACCTCATCTCTCTCACTTTCACGTAGAGCTGTTCTCGGGAGCAAACCGCGTGAGCCCCAGCTTGCTGAATACATCATACGGAATCCCGAGGTTCGATTTGCGCCTACTTAGAGCTGGCAGCAGCTCTCCCATCTCTTGAGCGACATCGACACTTTCCCTACTCCCAAATGAAACAACCAATCGAGAAGCTCACCACACTGGTGGTGTCAGGCCTCATGCCCTTGGTCTTTGCCCATGGTGCCCATCAAGACGGCGGAGACGGCATGTCCACGAATATGGGCATGCCCCACGGCGCCGCAGAAGAAACCAAACCCAACGATAGCTATCCACCAACCTATTTCGCGCTCGCAGATCATGCCGGTGTCATGTATGCGCACATCGGGGCGATGGTGCTTGCCTGGGTCTTCATTCTGCCAGTTGGTGAGTCTGCAAAGGTAACGCCGAGAATGCGACGCCGACTAATATGCCCTGCAGCCGTCATGCTTTCAATCGCGCGCTCACGGTATACGCTGGCCCTCCAATTTGTCTTCCTTGCGGTGAATGCGCTTGGCGTAGTCCTGGCCACGGTCTACAACGCCAATACCCCCGATCTGTATCCTAACAACGCTCATCACAAGCTTGGCTGGCT